ATTAAAAAATAATCATTCTCTGACCATCCTTTTTCAAAATTTCAATTTTTCCTTAAAATTTTATACATACAAATATAATTTATCAAAGTAAGTATTTGATTCAAAAGAAAAAAAGGATACTTAAAATTATTGATGATGAAGTTGAAAGCAAATCTTTCGATTGATTCATATACTTCGGTAAGTTTATACTATTCTGAAAATTGTTTTTTCGTTTTTCTTTTTCAACAATACTAAAAATTGGCTCTTTTTAGATAGATAATATCAGTCTATGACTATCATTTGATATGCCAAGAAAATAATCTTTTATTTTGTACCAATAAGCAATAACCTAAAACAATGATTACTTATCACAAATAATCTCCATACTATTCATACTTGCTAAACTTGCATGTTTACATATATACATGCAATAGAATACCCAATACAGTTCAATTTAGTCAAAATTTGCTTGTTTTTGCAAAGCTGCAAGATGACATTAAAGAGCAACTATTTTAATACTGCATGTATTAATTACTATATACTAACATAAGCATGTATTAAAACAAATAATGATAATTTTTGAATAAATATTGTCCAATTTTAATTTCCTGATAAATTAATCAATTGCAAAAATATTGATCACCTCATTTAAAAAAACTTTTGAGTTTTCAATATTTGGCTAAGTTATTTCAAAACAACAAATATTTTATGAGTGTATCAAAATTAGCAATGTTTTACATATTTGATAGGATGATATGGATCGAAATAGTTCAGTAAAATAGATCAATCAAATTAGCGGAATCAACTCCGTGCGCATACCGGATTATTTTTATGATAAAAATCGTAGAACACAGAACTTACATTCTTAATTCATATTTTGCATAAATTAGAGGCTGATTTATCGTTCCTTTCAATTATTAAATATTGTAACAAAAAGAAAAGTCACATATAATTTGATATTTTTTAAGTATGAAATTGAATGTTAAATTCATTTCAAAGTTTTTGAATAGTTAACTTTTAAGTCATTTTTAATATTCTAATTTTTACATCAATTAGCAAGTTTCAACGTTAATTTTACACTTGAAAAAACTTGTTCATCAATCAGCTGAAGTACTACGAAGTATGCTTATTCTAATTAAAATAACTTACGCGTTTTACGTAAGGGTGAAAAATGCCTGAGTGATATTGTTACTCAAACTTAGAAACATTTTTTTTTACTATCAAAATCCAAAAATCATCTCTTGAATGCCAGAATATCGCTTACTTTTCGTCTTACTTTGTCACCAAATGAATTTCGTGGCTGTTGCGTAGTAGCATCTAAAAATAAAATTTGAAAATATTAAGTTAAAAAAAAATTATATCTAACATGTTCAATTAAAGTCAGATTTACGTCCTAACATTGAATATAACTATCAGATTTCCTTATTCTTTTTACAGTGTTGAGTTGTTTAAAATTGGTAATACCATTAAATTAAATAGAAAAAAAAATAATAAGAAATTGAAAAAATAATCACTTCCTTTTTACAACATTTTCAGAGTTAAATGATTGTATATAAAAGTGAAAATGAAAATTACCTTTCGAAGTTACAATCATCGGATAATTTTTGCTTTTCTTTTCACTATTTCCATTTTTATTTTTCATCTCTTCATTAATTTTTCTCTCCATCGTTTTTAATTGCGCTCTTTCCTTTTCGGTTGTTGATTGTAGAGCGATCGTATTTATCATCCTAAGAAAATATTTATCATCCTAAATTCTTAAATGTCATTCTAAAAAATCAAACTTAAATGTTAGAATCGAATTTCTTAAATGTATTTCACCAGTTCTAAATGCAAGAAACGGTTTAATTTCAAGAGACGAGATTTAAGCAACCTTTTTTTTCTCCTGTTTTGTCTATCACATAGAGCGACCTATTTCAATTCTTGACAGCAAAAGAATGTCCTAAAAGATAACAGCAGGCGTATTTATATACGCTCAAAATCAACAACGTTTGTTCATATTTCTTCCTTTCGAAATTCGAAAATTTCACTTGAATTTTGAAATTCAAACAGTTAAGCACGATCAACATGATAAAAGTAATATATAAAATTATAACACTCTATGTTTCAATACTTTGGCAAATATTTTTCGTGCTCATGATGCGCAAGTTGTTATGCAAATTTTATGCGTGTTTGGTGCTGCGCTTTATCCTGACTATTAAATTTTATAAATCGACATGGGAACAACTTTAATAATTATAACTTTAAGCTGATTTATGTTATTCGCTGCAATGTACGAACAATGTACAAAAGTAACGATCAAATAGTAATCAAATAATGATTGCACAGTAATCAATTACAAGTATATAATTGCTACAATGAACATTTTACATCCGCAGTAGATGAAGTTTTGCTATCGTACATTTTTCTTTGGGATCTTCTGGATGGTATTGGCAAGCAAATACCATTTTCAGCCAATGCTTCCGCTTGACTTAAAGCAACCTGATCATTTGCTGGTTGAAATCTTACCTGAAATTTTAATCAAAACAGAAATATAGAAGAAGATTCGAAAATCATTGATATTTCAAACAAAACAATGGTACTACAAGTGATAAAATTCACTACATCATATACTTCCAATTTTTATCAGATTTATATATTTTGAAATGAAGAAAGTCATACTTTAACATCTTTACATAAATCCATGATTCTTAGGTACTGATCATGATACTTCACATACGAACCATTAGCTTTCAACCACTGACGTGAATGGTGAACCAAAAAAGAGACACAGTCAGTACGAAGAATAATATTATGGTAATTTTGATCCACAGCCTAAAAATCTCTTTTTCGCATAAGATTGTAGCATTACGTAACAAATCATTTGAACAAGAATCATAAATGCATTCAAGTGGTTTAAACGTGTGTCAAATGAAAAAATAACACAGATTTAATCACCACAGTCACCTGTTGAAGAGCATCAATTATAGCTTGCAATTGACATCGAATCAAAGTTACTGGATAAAAATTATAACGCTTTCCAGTACTCAGCTCCAATGCATGCGGCCAATAAACACCATAACCTGCTTTGATGTACTTTTTTTCATTTCCTTCGATATGTATAACTCCACAAGTATACACAACGGGAATATTATCATTCAACGCATTTTTGGACGCACTAAAAAGAAATCGTTTAGCAAAACAAATTAGTTCATCAAACAAATCTAAACTGTTTCAATGCCTAGAACGAATATATTTTTGGTGAAAATTAATTGGATTAATTAGACTTCAAAACAATTTTCACGCTTACTTATTTTTTGAATTCATTACAAACGATGTTCCTGGTACAAATACACCTGAAATTAAAATTATTAATGCAATAATATAATGAACTACAATATAGCTTCAACCAGAAAATGAGGAAGGTGTAGTTCGGAATTATTGTTAATGTGGTATAACACCGAAAAACTTGATGACATATTTTAATTACAAAAAGAAGCATAAATCGAAGGAAAGCAAAATTTTATTTCTGGGTTTATTCTTCTTTTTGATTAGTTGAAGATCACTTTTACAGGTAACTAGGCGTCAAAGACTAATGTAAATAATAATTACAAATTTCATGATGAACAAAATGGCCAGTTTGGGAATATAATTATAATGAATATAAAGAATCAGAAAGAGAAGGAGATAAGATGACGGTTACATTAGTTAAAACAAAGCCTTTAAAATAATTAACTCAGATCGATAACAGATGGTCAAGATTGGTAGGAACAGCAGTATGGATTTCGAAATTTATAACTTTAATATTCAAAAGAAAATTTCCTAACTTCCAAATTACTACGAAGAACTGATAATATTACTCAAACAGACTCAATCGGAAGAGATATCAATGGAAGAAACGAGAAAATGAAAACTATTTTACGAAGGTCGTTTATGGAGATTTAAAAATCGATTGGAAAATTAGTAATTAAGAAGAACCTAATTTTAAGAGATAATGACAGTCCATTTCAGTTGGTTTTTCAAACTATTACGGATAAGGAAATGAAACTAACTAAATTCCTAGCTAAAACAGGAATGAAATGGAGAAATATAATTTCAAGTTGACCAGCTGTTCGTTCAGTTGGACGAGCTATCCGTAAATTTCTCCACTCCTTGGAGTGGAGAAATTTATGAAAGGATGACTGGTCTAACTAAAAGAACTTTAACAAGGGCCATAAACAGATTATTTTGAAAAAAAAGATGACAACTTTGGTAGTGGAAATAGAAAGTATACTTAATACTCTTCCGTACCTTATGTGAACGACGATTCCATAATTCTACGACTACTCGATTTCATCTCACCAAATGCTTTCTTAATAATACCAATTGATGATGATAACGACCAAGACGAGTATATTCCTACTAAGCTAAATTCTCAAGAAAAACTTATGGAGTATAAAGGTTAAGTACAAAGAAAGTTCTTGACAATTTTTGGAAAATGTAGGAAGATGAGTATTTAGCTAGCTTGAGAAAACATACAAAACTTGAACATAAATCCCCAAGAAATGTTGAAGGAAAAATAGTACTGATAAATGTACCTCGTGGTATGTGGAAACTTGCAGAAATACAGAAACTCAATATAGTCGAGATAAAGAAGAAATGCGTTGATAGAGCTATGCTACGCACTTCCTAAATCGACCTATAAATCTATTATATCTCCCAAACAGAAATTAAGTATCAATCAACAAACTTTTTGTTAATGAAAGGAAAAATACTTCTATATGATGGAAAAAGTTAGTATCTGATCTTGATAAAACAAAGAATTGCACAGCTGAAAGAGGAAAATGTAAAACAAGTATCACTATTATACTGTGAAATGGAACAAGAATAATAAAATTCTGTTCTTATAAAATTAGAAGACTTGATGCACAACGGTATGATGATCATCTTATCAGAGAAAAATTACAAGCTTCTTTTATATTTAATCAAGAAAACGAAACTACTACTACGATGAATTATAGACTCGTTGATCCACATCAATGAAAAGAGATATTATCATTGATGTCGATAATCAAAATAATGAGAATTCAAGTAAGAGAAATACCAAAAGAGAAGTAAGCCTAAATATTGCTCCAAAAAATCAACTATTTAATGATGGAAATCAATCTGGAAGAAACATCCGACCTGGAAAATGTAAAATTCCAATATACATTACCACGAGAATTCAGACAACAACTTGGAGTAACCTATCAAAGAAGTTGTCAAAATCGAAACAACTTGCTATTATTAATTGAATGGTTATCACATAACAATTCTGCGCTAACTGCAAGACTACTATTGCAAAAAAACGGTATAATAATTAAACGAGTCGAAGGGAAATTACTATTTGTTCCCTGTAAATCTAAAGAATTCAATTCAAACATCGTCGAATTCAAAGGAGGAATAGTAAGCAAATTGAAACAAAAAGAATTAATGTGGAATTGAAAATACTAGCCTATAAACAAGAAACGGTCAATCCGATGTTTTATTGACAAAGAACTGAAATTCTTTGGCAGGAAATCAGTCAACAAAGGGAAGGCATGGCAGAACAGTTGGAGAACGAAATTGATAAGGCTATTGAACTAATAAAAAACTTGCAGAACTTACCAGAGAAACTACTATAATTATCTTGGTTATTCGAAGAGTAACAGACCGACTACAAATTTCGGAAATTTGCTATTAAAACATCGACATCTGGGGACATTTACAACATAAGATCAAAAATCAAATCAGCAAAAATTGATTCAGCTAGCATTTTTTACATACCGTCACTGACCTAAAGCAATAGCAAATTTCCGCTGCTGTTATTTTGTAATTATTTTATAAATAAATTGGTAAATAACTTGGTATAAAACATTTACCCATGCGTTTCTTCTGCAATTTCGCTAAAGCTGCTTTAGATGAAGTTTCTGAAGTGAGCTTTTTTTCTGGAATTATATCATATTCTCCTTTGCTTACTGTTTTATTCATTACATTTTCGAAAAACCTTTTAGCTGTCATCTCAATGGAAGAACTGTACTCGATCGTCGCCTAAAAACTTTTTCCAATTATTTTCAAAATTTTAAATAAAAGAAAAAAATGATTCATTATATTGATCTATAAAATATGTTTGCTATAATATGGTTTAAACCGACTTCAATAAATAAGATGATCAGCAAATTTATAACGTAAGGTCAAAAACCAATTAGAAAAAATTCTGTTCAGCTAGCAGCAGTATTTCAGCTAGCATTTTCTATCTAATAGCGATAACAAATTTCCGCTACTCGTTATTTTGCAATTATTATAAAATGAGTTGACGATAAAACACATGCAAGATATTCAGTCTTGATGAAAAATACATTGGCATAGAACTGTCGGCAAAAATATAGCGATGAACTGATATGTTCGTACATCGATCATGTGCAGTAATCGGTATAGATCTTCGGCTTCAGCGAGGCAGAAACTAAATGTCACCGATTTTTGTTGTAGAAATTCATCCAAACTCCACCATAATGACATTTTACCAAAATGCTTCGAAACAAATTTCGAATTCGTAACAATGCGGATACGTGGCAAATTCATTTGAAAAATTGCCTGCAATGCTGTAATCTTAAAAATCACGCAACAATATGAGAACAGTATCATGCGTTTAAATTTATTTTCATCCTTTTTAGCAAATGAAAGATAAAATTAGAACAAAATTTGTTGGGACAAAAATTTGATATGTATCGAAGAACAACATACTTGTTTCAATGCTAAGCACACGGCTTCAATTTCAGCCTTCGTTATCGATCCTCCTGAATGCTCCTAAAAAATGTTATCGAATATAAAGAGTTCCGATTTTTTTGTCCATGAATATTTATACATTTTGACAATAATCACGAAAAGTCTTGGCAGTTTTTACTTATAAGAAGTGTACCAGATTTTATTGGATCGAATAAAAGAAAAGAGCACCCTGAATCGATTACATTTGCTGCTATCATCCCAATAAACTGCCATAATTGGATCGTTGGAATTATCGGGGATATGTGTAAAAGCTTTCACAACTGGAACACTGAAATAAATACGGAAATATACGGGAATTTTTATAATCTTCAACTGGAATAATTTCCAACAAAATGCCATTTTATTATATGAATTCATAATTTACTACCATGAATACCATGAATTCATAATTTAACAATCCGGTGAAACTAATCTATGATAACATTAATTCCATTCCATTGTATAAATAAGTTCATAATTCTCGAACGGTTCAATATCCAACAATCAATATTTCCCATATGTGACACAAATTATTCAATTAAGTTAGCATAGAACTTACATAACAAAGAAAAAAAAAACAACGAAATGTTGAAAATTTAGTACTTATTCGAATCATTTGATGCTTCCGATGAATATAATGATCTGCCCTCACTGCATGATGACTTATCAAGACGTCCATATACATTTCGCAAGTCAGCATGTACTGTTGATTGTGGACTGTTACATACAACAGTAAATGTACGCTTACCAATGATAGGATATGTAGAAGTGATAAATTGCAATGGCTTCAACCAGTCTATAAAACGAGCAGATAATAATACAGCTTTCATTTCAAATAGTATCTTCTTACCGGGAACTGAAAAAAAAAACATAATAATTAAACCAAATTAATTATGGTTGATTAATTTTTATATTGTAACAGTTTCATAAATAGATGAATTAGAGATATATTTTGCTTGTATGAGACCAAGATTTACATTGCTGTTGCATGCAACGGTGTTGAAGTGGTAAGTCGTGAATTTGAGGCAAATTCGGGGTCCTGTCGTCTGAGATCAGATTTAGCTGTGCTGCTGGTTCCTTATAGCTTTGGTTGTGGTTGCGATGGTGTCGAGTGTATTTTGATATACTTTTAGTACATAATATTAGTTATTTCAGTTAATTGCTAACCTAATTACCTAATTTTATACTTTTTTATCTTGATTTGGGTCGATTACATACTTTACATATTTTATCGATTACATACTGTGTAATGATTTTGGTCGATTACAGACTTTATCACTTTTTTAATTGCTTTATTTAATTAATTTATACGCTTATTTACTGCATATTTACTCTTTTATGTGCTTCTAGTATTTAGTTAGATGTATTTTTTTTTTTGCGCAATTATACCTGAATTAAGATATCATCACTTTCTAAATGAATACATCCTTATCTTTTTTTCGTTGTCCTATTTCCTCTTTCTCCATCTTTCTTTAATTTTCATTTTTAGTTTTTTAAATCATCGAATTTTCAGTATTGTCAAGTATGCTTTCATTATATTTACGTTATTTCAGGTTTTAAATTTTCTGAACTTGCAATTTTTCGGGTTAACTAATCATTAACCTCAAAAGTTTCGAATTATTCTGATTCCCGAATATTTGCATTTAGTGCCACGCGTATATTTAACAAACTATCGGGTACTTTATAAACAATAATGCAGGTTATTTGTTTGCTTCATGTTTTGAAAATTATTGAATGCTGCTGAGCATAAATCTCTCCCAGACAGAATTCTTCCAAATTTGATTAAATTTGTTTCTGAGCTAGAAAATATTTGAATAGTTTGTCTTAGTAAAATAGATATGGATCCATACACGTGTGGATGGTAGTCACCTTGAAAACTGAATTGGAGTTCATAAACGGTTTGTTGTCAGTTTCGGTACTTTACTGAAATTGGAATAGAATTTTCGTGATTAGATAACATTATTATTGCATGTAGGTTTATTTGTAAAATGCTAAAACTTATATTTTCAGTCCGATGATCCTCCTTTTTTAAGTGTTGGCACTGAAGTTAGTGCGAAATTTAAGGGGGCATTTTGCGAAGCTAAAGTGAAACGTATGACGAAATCTGTGAAATGTAAGGTAAGTTAGTAGTGCTGAACACTTTTAATAAAATTTCAGCATTAATTCTTCTAGAGCAGAGATCTAAATATTATATATGTGTAAAAAGAAAATGTGTAATCCAATCCTTCTTGACTATTCCGGAGTTCATCTTTAATGAGAATTGAGGTTTCACAAATTAGGATGAGCTTTATTTTATCATGGCTGATTTTTAGCATCCTTCTTATTTTTGGAATAAAAATGTATGCTTATTTTTTTTATAATTTTTAGGTCTTGCTGAAAACACCGCCTTATGGTACTATATTTGCCGACCATACTGAAATAAAGGGTTCTTTGGAAGTTAACCAACAAGTTGAAATTGTTCAGGGGAAAGCAACTTATAAAGGCGTTATACAAAATATTAAAGATAATAGCATATATGTTGTTGGTAAGTATTTCTATCATTGTTCGTGCTGTCGATTTATTTACAATTCTTACATTTATTGAATGAGTTACAAAAATTGAAAAGTGCAGTAATTCGTTTTTATTAAAAATTAAAATTATTGCTGTTCTGGATGAGTGTAGGATTGTGAATTTAGCTGAAAGGGTGCAACTACTGCTTACTGATAATCCAGTTTTTAGTGTTTAATGATGGCGATGAAAGGCAGTTGCGGCGTACACAAGTATGCATCAAAGGTGCTAAACATTTTGATGAAGATGTCAATTTGGATGCAATGCCGCTGTACAAACCGGAATCATTTAGTAGTCCAGTAGTCCCTGACGATCGAAAGGGAAAACAAAAAAGGTTTTTTTTTCGTTAATTTCAAATATTTGGAAAGTAATTTATAGATACAGACTAAATTAATAAAGCATGAGTCAACTGTACCATGACATCATCCTAATTAGTTAAGATATTGATATTATATCCCGACTCCTCATAAAAAACTTGCCATGTAAATATAACGACTTATACTTCCTTTACGTTATTTATAGCAGTAGTCTAATTTCTCATCAATTGTTTTAAAAGCAATGAAAATGAAAAGTGACATAATAGTAACACAAAGTCTTAAAATCTGAAATTAGACGCATATCATAATGTCTTATCCTTTCCTATTATGCAGAAATTGGCACATTTGCACATTAGCTACATCCTGAAATTTCTTTTAAAACATATTCAAATTTATGAATGTTACATCTGATTTAATTATGCTAAGAAGAGAGAGAAAGATTAAGTAGAAAGATCGGCAAGTCAGCATAAATCGTGTCGATATTAAATTTTGTCAAGGACGTACGTTGATGTCATCCTATGTTTAAGGTATCTGACTTCCATCCTAAGTGTTCATCGGATTTCTTATTATCGTTCTATAACGATAACAGTTGATGTAACTTTTCTTCCTCGCTAACATATATGATACATTGTCCGTAGTAAGAAGGCTTTTCTTTCTACGTCTCTCCCTTTTTCAACAACATTTTCGCAAAGTTCTCTTCTTTATGTTGATCTGTTTCGACCTTCATTTTCTTAATATTTCGCCATTTCTTGTTCCTTCCATGTTACCTTTAATTATAGAGTACAGCAAAGATGTAAAATTCAATTTTGCCTTATCCAGTCGCGTAGTTAAAGAATATTAACACCATAGAAGTGGTAATGGTGGAAGAAAGTGGGTTTCGTTAGAAAATATCCGTCGCTTATTCGTTCACTTTCTTCCTCTGGTTCTCTTTCTCCCTTTTCCTCTGCAGTTGAAGGACATCAGTCATCCTATTTCCCTTCTCCTTTTTCTTCCTTATCATAGTTTCGTTCGATCAATAAAATTTCAACTTTATATATTTTTTGCAAAAGCTAATTTTGCACTTTTTCTCCATTTTAATTTTATAAGACTATATTCTTTCTTTTTCTCTTCGCATCGTGTTGGACCATGCCGTGAGCATTACATAACTGTCAGTACTGCAACTTATCGGAACACGTATCTCTTGCGTCATTTCTAGCGTGAAACTGTCGGAAGTAAATATCTTTTCTTCTTCGTTGATCTGAAGCATGAGTATATACGATTACTCAGATAATAGAACAAAGGGATAATGAGGCATGCGCGCAAAACGATTTGTGGAGTTGTCGTTCCAGTCGTAAAGTTTTTGAGGTATTGCTAGTCTTCCAAATGTTGGGTAATCAGCTTAAATGTCTTTTCTCTACCGAACATCTTTTTGCGATTAAGATTAGGACAGTAATGTATTTAGGTTAAAATGCTTTTCTCCAGGTGACATATTATTTTCTGTATCCTACAACAGCGCAGTTGTATCATCTACTAAGTGGATTGCTATACCAACTAAATTATTGGAAATGTGCCATTTAGTGCCATTGCATACACTTCATCTACAATAACATCATCAGTTTGTAATGTGCACAAATACGGTCTTTTTATTTTCCTTTTTGGACAAAAAGAATATCAGCATTAATACTTAGTTTCAGTGTGTGTGTTAACAATAATATGCACCATAAAAGCTGACTTGCATTTCTAGTCAACATGCACTGTGCGCATCCAGCATGCAACTGCACCTTAAGTGTTATGTAAATGAATTTTATGCATAGGAAAAATTTGGAACAGTCAAAACAGCAGCGGCAACAATCAACATCAGCAAGTGTTGGAGATAAGGACGATGGCAGGGAGCATGATGACGATACGACAACCAGCGAAGATGGTTCAACACTCGAAAGTACCACTTCTAGCACCACCTTATCTCACACCAGTAATAGCATCAGTGAGACTGTAACTGTTCCTGCACAGTCAGGTCATAAGCTCCGTACACGTCAAATAGCGTCAAAATCAGTTCCAAGGCGTTTACGTAGTGCACGTAGGGGGTTTACATCATTCTACAAACCGACTGAAAATAGTAGTGACTTGAAAAGTGGTGATGATGAGGATGATGATAACACTAATGATGATGATGGTAATGATTCGAGCAATTCGAAGATGCGTCGTTTTGCGCGCCTACCGAAACCGTCAGTTTCACGCATGATTGCTGATAAAATTCTTACCAAATCTATTGCACGAACACGTAGAAAGCGTTATGCAGCAGCGGTTGCCACGGATGCGTTGAAACGTATCAAAGAACCAAATAGCACTGGTAGTAAGCGTAGGTTAGGAGATGATGATAGCTATGATAAAGATGATGAGAACAGTATTATTGATGAGGATTATGGTGGTGGTGATGGTGATAATGATAATGATCATGGTGATAATGATGACGATGACGAGGTTGACGATACAGATAAGGAAAAGGGAAGAACACATGCACGGAAAAAGCATTGCAGTAGCGATGATAATGATGATGATAAGTCCCATACAAGTGATAAAATGATAAGTAGCAGTAACACAAGCCGGAAAAGCGAACGGAAGCGACAAAGACTTCGAGATAAAGAAGTGGAGCCGATGACAAAGAAAAGATCAAAAGATATTGATGAAGCGAAGAAGGTTAAGTTTTTCCTGTTTCTTTTCAGTAAAGTATTTCAATCTTGGAAATTAAATTTTTTTGAATTCGTTTGAAATGTTTTAAGAGCAAAGACAAATTCAGAAAAGTTGTTTTCAATCTGTTATGATTTTTTTTTTCAGAGCTTTTGAACTGCTAGTAACACGGAAATTTTCATTTCAGTTGTATAAGGTTGGAAGTGTTGTGGCAGTATATGAGGATGCTGCGCGTAGGGGTAAATGGACACCAGCGGTTGTCGTTGCGGAAGTATCATTCAAGGCTTCAACAAAGGGAACTATAAGTATTGGAAAAAATGATGTTTTGTTGCGAAGCTTCAAGGATTCAAAATAGTATGTTTCAAACAAGAAAAAATTCTCATTTTAATAAGTATCCTCGAAAAAATTTGAAATGAATTGCTAAATGTTGCTGAGAATTTATTTAAATGAGTAATCGGAGCTATTGAACATCTAGTCTAAGAATTGGGCGGTGTGAAGGTTGGCGTCACTTATTTTTGCTTGGCTGAAATAACTTGCGCGATACTATAACTGACTAGGTGATAAAGGTCCAGATTTTGGCAGTTCAGTTTTATTGAGAAATTCTCCATACTTTTATGTTTGAATCGAATTGTCTTAAGAAAAACTACAATTAATTTACTTTTTTTTTCATTTAAAGTATTTAATTTTTCAGCTTTGCTTGTCCGGTGAATAAATTGTCTTCACCGGGCACTTCAATTCTCAGGTTTCCTGATTCGTCGCCCAAAGCTGCTATGGATCGAGCTGTCGCTTTCGTTGAAAAAGGTAAGTAAATTTATGATGCGTAGCGAATTTTTTAGCTAATATTTCTGTTTAAATGATTTGATGAGGGATGTTTTTAGAAATTTTTCCTGCTGGATGGGAAAGATCACAAATTTATGATGATATGCGACCAAAGAAACGCGAGCGTAGATCTTCTTCGATTGATAAAAAAAAACGTTCAGAATCTTCCGGAAAAGCAAAACGGGAAATGGAGAAGAAGATGTAAACAAAATTTCTTCCTTAATTATATGAAATAAGATAATGAGTGGTATTTTATTAGTGTTATTGCGATTATCAACTTTTATGTTAAAGTGCAGTATTTTTTGCAGTTCCGCAGAGAGTAGCTCTTCAGAGAGCGAAAGCAGCACCGATGAAGAGTACGGCGAAGAAAGAGATCAGTTTACTGCCCAATTATATAAGTTCCATGAAGAAAGAGGTTTCTTTTTAACGCATTGCAGAGAATTTAAGATGTGCAAGATTTTACTAATATTCCTTTTCCGTGTTCCGGAATAAGTTTGAGATTATAAGAGCAGTCTGATTGAAGCAGTACATAGCATAAATCTATTGGGTTGATTATTTTCTATATAAAAAATGAACTATTTAGAAGAATAAGAGTGTTAATTTTGTTTTTATTGAAATCAATTGAAGCTTTAGATATTTAGATGCAATTTGTTTTGCAGGGACTCCTATTAATCGAGCACCAATACTTGGTGGGAAAGACATAGATATGTTCCGACTGTACAATGTGGTTCAACGATATGGGGGCAAAAAACGTGTTATCGAAAACAATCAGTGGAAATTGGTTTTGCGAAAAATGCATTTGGAAGGATGCCCAGGTGCAACATCAGTTACCGTCAAAAATGCCTATTCCAGGTGAATGATCATTTTCTTATGAAAGAAAAATATGAAATTAATTAGTTTCTAGCGGGCTGACTTGGAATTTTTTTTCAGATACTTGGATCATTTTAACTCATTTTATCGCAATTTGGGTATTTCGAGCTGGTTGTCAACTCCGACACCGTCAACTTCCAGTCGTAGTGAACGTCCAAATCGTTTGTTAGACCGTCACAATATGCAGGTTTTGGTTTATTGCTACTAATAAGTTGTATAAATGTTTTCTGTAAGCTGCACAAGTGCTTTTATCAGGCAATCATAATTTTGTAGTTGCAAAGAAGAAAATGGGCTTTACTGGCATCGAAAAAAAAAGAGAAGAGGCAAAAAGAAAGCGCAAGTAAGGGAAAAATAACGAAACGAGAAAAAGATGAGGGCCTACCGCGTACGAGGAGAGAAAGAATTAAAAAAGACGAGCGAAATATGATGAAATCTGATATTAGCGAAGATGACGACAAGATCAAAGGGTATGTTATTTTGTAATTTTTGTTTACCAGAGTGAATAATTGTTTTTTTTTTCAAGACTTGAAATGCATGCGGTGCTGTTGTACTTTCACTTTCAATTTTTATTACTACCTGGATGTGAAAGGATGGATGAACAATATTGAAACTTAGCAGACATGTTTTCGGAAGGTTTAGGCAATATCGCTTATTACACTGAGGTCTGTGGTCGAACTTCCTTACTCTTGAGTCAAGATGATTGTTCTGATGAGCAATTATGCTTCTAGTATTATTAGTAAAGGATGAGATATACAAAATGAACAGAGAGCCTACATTGAATCTAATTTTATAAATGAGTTAAAAGAAGCGATGTAATAATTTGGCATACATATCAGATTTTAAGCGTTTTTTTTAGTGCGCCATCCACGTCGTCACAGAGTTCAACGCCATTACTTTGCTTATCACCTGGCGGTAAAACAAAATCAAAGGCAAAAGACGACGAAGAACAGGACAAAGGGAGTGTAAGCGATAGTGGAACAATCGAAAGTACCAAAGAAAAAGGAAGTTCTAAAACTGAGAAGGAATCAAGCAGAATTAAACACCGAAGTCTAAAGAAAAGGGATAATGAAAGGGATACAAATAAGTATGGTTTAGTTGTTAAAGACTGAGAAGGAAACGTTAAAAATTTGCATCTGAATATGTTATTTACTTGCTGACATAATTTGTCTCTTTTCAATGTTCGTTTCCTTTAGGATAAAAGATGATTGGAATTTTTAGTAGTAGAAATTTTTATCATCATTAATGATTCATTTCAACTGGAATTCCGCTAAATTTTTTTTTTTAAATCGAATTAGGTGTTCTGTTTTAGAGATGAACAACAGCTTAGCTCGAAAGCTTCCGATATTGATAAGAAGATTAAAATATCAAAGGTATTTTTGTATTCCATTATTTTTCTGAGATTATTCTATGAATGTTTTTTTCCTCTTTCATATTTTCTCTTCTTGTTTCTCATTCTGATATCGGATTTGAGATCAATAAATCGGAGAAGAAACCATCTTCTGATAGTTATATTAAACGAAAGTCTCCAAGTATTGTGTCGACAGCTTCATATGTTGATCTGGGAGTTAACGGAAGTGATGATGAAGGTTTGATTTCTTTTCATTAGGTGGTTGTGACGAACGCTGCGTGACTGGAATTTTGGAATTGTGAAACATGATATTGATGCTATAGTAAGAAATTATTGAGAAAAAAGAACTATAGTTATTGCGCAGCTGCAGCAGTGTTAGAAATTTCCATTTTATTTCTTAGGAAATCATTTAATGTATTTGGAATTTTAACGAGATTCTTAATATATTTTTCATTTTCCAGCACACATTCGGCAAATGCGTTTAAAAGAAGGTCGAAAGTTGGTCGCAGCGGGAACTCGTCTTTCCACTGATCAAAAGGAATTATCGATAAGCAAGAATGAGGGAAGTGCTACTGGAAAAGATTCAGATATTTCCCAAGCGCTCAGGAAGGAAAAGACGAAGGAAGGTGTACCGTGGCTTAATTGCTCTGCAGCTACAGTGTAGGTTTTACTATTTTTACGGTAGCTTCCAATGTCGTCTGGGTCCAAATAAGATTGGCCATTCTAGCATAGGTCAGACTGTGTTTTATGGTCTGAAGTTGTTGAAGACAGTTGTTTTTTTAGCTTTCCTATTTATTTATACTACGTTTTTGTTTTGATTTTTTTTGGTTTACTTTGTCGGTTTTTTGTTTATATTTTCTTTTTTGATTGTTTTGGCATTTTTTTGTTTCGCTTATTGAAGGTTTGTGCTTATTTTATTATATTATCTGGTATTTTTGCAGTAAAATTCTTTTATTGAGCGGAGAAGAGCAGGAAGAGAGAGTAAACGCTTGTGCCTAGGGCTATTTTTACGATATTGCCTTTTCTATTTATTTGTTGCCTGATGAAGGCTTTTGTTTTTTTTGCTTGGCTTTTGTGGACTTATATCATGCTCCTTTTGATTTTTCAGAGTGTGAGTGTGAGTTGTAAGAGGTTTAATGTTGAGTACATTAGTATTGTTTTTTTTTTTTGTTGTTTTTAGGATATGGAAATTTGTTGTATTTTAGATGTTTAACTTCTGGATTGTTCTTTGATATGAGAACTTTTTATTGTTTTTTTTTCGATTTTTTTCTTGTAGGGTTTATCCTCGATTTCGTTTTAATTTGTTTAATATGGATATGTTGGCTTTTGTTTTTGCCTGACAGTTTTTTTTTTTTTTTGGTAGGTAATTTCGAAAAAAAATCCATCTTTGACAATTAATTGAAAAGAACTGATGATCTTTGGCAATCATCATAAGTGCTACAACAGTGTTTAAAAAATTTTTTGTTTGCAATATTATTTTTGTTTAGCTTGACAAATTTCTATATGGGGCAAAATGTGAAAGCTTATCATCATGGTCAGTGGTATGATGCAAGAGTGATTACAGTGGGCAAAATTTCACATGGAGATGTCCTCTCTTCGATGATGGACTTCGAGGCGAGGTTTGATTTCCATTCCATATTTCAGGAATGATCATTAAGAACACTGCGAATAATCTCGGAAATTAAATCCATTTCTAGTTATTACAGAACATGTAACCACAAAATATCCAATGTGAAGTACATTGGATATTCAAACTGTCCCTTGCTTCTTTGTTAACAAAATTAAATGATAATTTCAAGGTGCAAAGCTATCAATGAGTCAATGGATTGTGATGAGAAAGAGCGAAAAGAATCACTGACAAGAGCATCGGCACGCTTAAACGATCGGTTAGAAGGTATTCTTCGGGAAATGACATGTTGTGTACATTACCTTGGATGGAATTCCCGCTATGATGAGTGGGTCGAGTTAATCAAAATTAAAGTACATGAAAAAGTTAGCGTTTCAAGTCCTTTATTTTTGCTTGAAATTCAAATTCAGAACATGAAATAAGTAAAAATAATTTTTACATTCAAATTGGAACTAATTTTCAGGATCAGAAACTATCGGAAGAACAATTTTTGTCGATTGCTTCTGATAAATTAAGTGCTCCAACTCTGGAAGCAGCCGTAGCATGGCGTTCTTCTGTTGATCCAGCTAAACTTTTAGCAACTGAAGTGTGTAGTAGTGGAATGAGGTTAGTAAAAGCAGATTGTCACTCATTTCAGCAGATCTGAGAAGATAATAGTAACAAGTGGAGAACATTCTCACTTGCGGCTATTATAACTTATAAGCATCGTTGATGTGAAGCTGTAAGTGAAATGTAGTAGTTTACTTGAAGAATATATAGCTTTTCTAAGTAACTTAAAGTTCAGAATGGGAAAAAAGAGGACCAGATTAGTAAGAAGCCGAAGAAGGAAGAAGTGAGTAGAATTGTGTATTACGGTTTTTATGTATGCTGTAACATTGAGTTGAGAAACATGTTGAGAAAAACTATCGTTTAAATCGAGTATGAAGTTGCGAAAAATCGTATGTTTAGGGAAGTTTTAATTTACCATTGAATTTTGGATAAATTTGCTAAAAATTGAAATATGTCACGTCCTACAATTTTTAAAGAGCTTTTCTTGAAGACTGTAAAAAATATAGTTTGAGATTTATTTTTTAGGCCTCGGCGATTATCGCACACCCATGAACATGCTATACATCCAGAAGTTCATTCGCGTTCTACTACATTCTCAGAAAAAAAAGTGAAAAAAGCAGTAATAAGTTGCTTTTCAACTTTTCTGTCCATTGTTTTTAAAAATCACTTTCATTTTAGTGTATTTTTGAGATCTGAGAACGTTTTATAATTTATAGTTTTTTACTTCAAGTTCTTTGTTTCTAAATGTATAAAAATTGCAGAAAGTTTCGTTGACAACAAGTGATTCAACGGTATTGAAAACACCAGATGACTCAGTGAAGCAGAGTACTGTCCATCTCGCAAGCACCAATCGTCTAGCTGAATCTGATGCAGAAATTGTTGTATGTCTTTTTCCGTTTAATTAAAAAACTACTGGAAAATTTTTCATCACTATAATAGTAATGAAGAAAGGGGAAGGGAGGATGAGGGAGCAACATGAAATAGAAGGAGAGATGCATGGAGAAAGTCTCAAAGAAAGGGGAGAACAACGAATTGTTCCCAAAAAAAGCCTATATTTGTATATATTAAAAGACTATATTTCTCATGCCAAATGATTTAGCTGAATCGTTTACCGGAAGAAGCTTCAGTTTCCGAAACACCGCCACACCTTTCTTTTGCCAGTGAGCTTATATCAAGTACAGTATTTCTTACTGGCGATACTGCAGAAGTTAGCATTTTGACTAATTATTCATTTTGCGAGGTGATTAATTATTCATTTTGCGAGGTCTATTATTTTTTATATATCATTTGCCACTTGAAGAAAATTGCATTGGTGAAGAAAAAAAATCAAAATTTAACAATTGTCAGGAAAAGCTACCTGAATCAAATTCGAAGCGACGTAGAACAATGTCGGACAATCGTTCTTCTGTTGCAGATCTTTCAGATAATTCAACAAAGACACCATTTATCTTTCCTGAAGGTAGTATGCATGATTTTGTATTTTATTTGCATAGTGTATCATGTTCTTGTAGTGGGAATTTTTAGAATTTTATCATGTTCATAAATCAGTTAAATTACTGGAAATAATAATTGTGTGCTTTGTACACTGCATATTTTGTAGCAGCTGACAATATCAAAACAGAAGTCGAAGCTGGCCGTGTGTTGGTACTGGATGGAGAATCTAGAACTGGGCAGATTTGTGTTGACAAAATGCGGCTTAAAGTACCAGGTTATGTTTTTTAATCAAGCAGAAATGATGTAATCATATTGGATTTTCTTGTAGAATATGCAGTTGAAAATATATGTTTACCATTGTTTTATAGATGAAAATCATGACAAGTCGACAGTTTTGGAAGCAGCAAAAGTCGTGGAAAAGAAAGAACAACATACGGTTGGTTTTTGAATGTTTTCCTTTCCTTTGAAAATTTAAAACGTGTTTCTGTATGCAAGGTCAGTACAATAAGATTTTCAACTAAGCATCAAGTTCGATGAAGGATTTTGATTTCTTGTTTTATAGTTTACAAAACTATTTCGAACAATAGCTAGTCTTATGTCTGTGTGAAAGAGACTAATATTAGTTGCTTGTAGTTATGGCTACAAATCTAGTGTTATATACAACGTAACTTCCGATGTTAGCCAGTTACATGTCTAGTGGTCCTACTCGAAGGATTTTATTGACGAGAAAAATTTGGAATTATAGTATAATCTTGATTTTTTCCTTTTTTGAGAATATCGGTATTTTTCTTTTGCAGAATGGAAGCGAAGAACAAGCAAAATTAATGGTTCTAACTAAAAGTAATGAGATAAATTTGAAAGATGATATTGACAGCAAGCAAAAGGGAATCACTGCAGTACAGCAGATTTGTAAGTTTATTTTTATTGTTTTTTAAATGCAATTATAGCAAAAACATTATTTTTTACTATCCGTAGTGTGTTCAAATTTGTATTAAATTGATATGCTCATATTGAATATGAAATCGGAAGTATGCTGTTTTATTTTGTTTCAGCACCTGCTGGTGATCCGATTCAAAAAATAACTTCATCGTGTAAAGAAATCTCGTTGGAATTAGAAGCCACAGCAGAAGATATAGCTTCAAAAGAATGTGATGATGAAGGTGAGGTATCATGCTAAAAAGGGTGGATGATAATCCATATATCTAGTTTCGTAGGACTTACTTTAGAATAAATTCCAAAGCGTGAGGTATTCCTTAACTAATAATAATCTTTCCTTTGTTTTTCTTTCTCTTCATGCTCAGAGGTATGTGGATATTCCGAACCTTGGTTCTTTTAACTGATTTCATCACTTGTTTGTTTTGTAAACATTGCTGTTTTTCGTTTCGGGTTCAGGATTTTATTTTAATAATTTGAGGATTTGGCCAAAGAAGTCAAACAAGTGATGAATTAAAGGAATTAATTCGGCAGGAAAGACGGATGTTCTTTAATGGTAGTATATTTTGAAAAATAATGCATGTAAAAATTTTTAGTTTGGCATCCGCCGATGTCTTTGGGACTTAAACAGCGTGGTCGTGGAATGAAAAAGAAGAAAGTTGGTAGAAATGCATCGAATACATTGGTCGAACGTAAAGGTATAGGAAAAGGAGGATTCAAACAAATAAATAGTGAGGAGCGAAGTAAAGAAAGTGAAGAATGCTCATCAAGTGATGATGAAAGTGTGTTTTACTTGCTTGCTTAATATTACGCATTAGCAAAAGACTAATTTTTTGTAAAGACTTTAAGGTGGGCAGAAAATTTTTGAATGAGTACTAGGAATGTATCTCTATCTGTTAATTTAGATTTGAAATGATTTTTCAAATTTATTTATGTAAGGTTGTTTGTGTGTGTTTACAATGTTCATTACATTTATATGGTTTATTTTCTAGGTTTGCCAAATGTAAGAGATAGTTGGCATGCTTTGAAAGTACGTATGCAACAGAAAGTGGAATCAGAAGGAGCTATGGCTTATGCTGAAAAAGAACTGAATTTAGAACCAATCGGTATATTTGGGTTTCTTGTTCATGAAAACTTGTGTACTTGTTCTGATTTTGACATTTTTAATTAAATGCACTGATATAAAAATAATCGTAGAAGACGGTGCAATAGGGATAATTGAACCTTAACTAATATGAGGCTCCAGAAACATAGAATATAAATTCATAATCAACGTAAATAGTATTGGTTTCATTACAGACGAAAATTTAACTGGGGAAGCGCTAATAAACAGTTATCAGGAGCGTATGCAAGAGCTCAGAGATATATATCATAGTATACGTGCAGATCAGGCACGTCTAGATCGTCGTTGGCGGAAAACACTGGAAAAAAGAAGTAATGCACTGGTTTTTTTTCCTGTTTTAGTACAGTTCAAAGGATACAAATGAGGAAGCCTTTGCCTCATAGCATTTTATAGACGTTGAAACTTCTTTAGTTTTTTTTATGTCAATTTCAAACATAGAAACGAATTTTCCAAAAACAAGTTGATCTGGAATTCGTGTAGCTGTGTGTTCCATTAGAATGTTGTTTAAAAAATCTCAAATTCGATCTAATTGAGGAATGCCTCGAGACGCAACTGGAAAAATCGATGTTAAAAAATGAGATGTGGAAGAATTTTTCAGATGTTTTTTTGTCATAATGAGTTTTTCATCGTTATTTCTATCATAATTTTTTTAAGAACAACGCGACAAGGAACATAGAAAAAAAGATGAACCGTTCGTACAGTCACCTGTAGGTGATAATGTTGTATAACGTGATTTGTTACTGTGATTTCTTTTAATTTATATCAGTTTGTTTTTGCTTTGTTTTGTACATTTGTATATTTAAGTTTACAGGTTTTTTAAAAAGTTTTCTAACATTTCGTTACCTTCGCTCCGTTTTGGATGAAAATAAACAGGTAAGCAGTGATAGCAGAAAATTCTTGGCATAAAATGCATGAAATTAAACAAAATCTTTATTTTTGAGTGATTCCAGCTATAATTTATGATATCTGCAATATGACATTAACTAATTGTTGGTTTACATCACTAAAGAGCCAGTAAAAATGATGAATGAATTCGAGTATCACAACATCTTCGGCTTTTCTGTCTTTTAGGACACGTTTGGAAAAGGAAAGACGGTTGACTTCTATTGTTTTAACCTTTTCGTTTCTTATAAGATCGGCGCATATAGCTGCTTTTACTTCGGATAACTGAAAGGAGATTGGTATATGCAAAATAGATTTGGAAAAACTTTTAGTTTTTTAAGATGGAAGAGACTAAATTAAAAAGGAGAAAGCATACCTTTTCTTCACTACAAAGACCTCGGAGTTCTGCCTTCATCAGCTTCAAGTTATGAGGATCAAAATATCTAGTCTTGGATGGCAATAAATTCTCCAAAATGCAAACAGCGCGGCATAGTGATCCAATTCGAAGATTTGCACAAGAATTCTAATATTAGTATTATAGATTGTTTCGAACTCGCTAATAATGAACTTATTCTATAATTTATATAAAATATAAAGTACAAAAAAAAGTACCGGAGCATTTTTCAAAATTGAAATCCAAAATTCCGGCAAATCGGTACTAGCGCATAATAAAATTGCATTTCGTAAATAATTGCTGGTACCCATTCCGGTTGCTAAATACACCTGAAACACTATTGTAGACTACAGCAGGCAGAGTGATTTATTTTTTATTCTGCCTTTGATAGTATTACAAGTTGCACAACTTTCCAAATGTTAGTTGCGATCTTCAAAAAAAATAAGAATAATAATGAGGAACATACCTCTAAACTTTCTGCCCAATACTGTAACTGTTCATCATATGTTGACACCAATGCGTGTAGTTTTTGAAGTAAAAAGAATAATTGAGGACCATTTATTGGAGCAATCTAAAATGATTATATTACTATAGATAGATACTACAAAAATAGTGGAAATTTTTGAAGTTTCATAAAGTAGAAAAGAGAAACTTACTTTTAAACTGCATCGGATAATAGAGTCGACTAAAGCAAAATTGGAGTTGTTACTATCGGTTTTTCTTTGATTTTCTAACAAAGAGAAGTAAATCTGAAACATGGAATTTTTGGATGACTTAAGCAGTAGTTAAAAAAGGCCAATGATAATCATTTGTATTAAGGAAGCAGCTCTATCATTTCGTACTATTCATGAAGACAATCACAAAAACGCTACGAATAAGCATGGACGCCTTTTTTACAACTTGTTTACATAATTTAATATTCAATAAAATAACATACATCCATTGCGGTAATGTAATCGCCCTGAAGATAAGCGAAGGCAGCACGGTTCTGGACAATTTCACGAGTCTTATTGTTACTGTTAGTCTTAAAGTAATGAAATTAAAAAAGCTCAATTTACGAAGGCAAAAGGAAATTATATGGGCAAAAAATAAGAGCGATAAAATTTGGAACTAACTAAATTATCGTCAAGAAACCATCTGGGTGATCGGTCCAAAGGCACATATACATGTGGATCAATATAATTCGGATGCAAACGGTTATTAACATCATAATCATCCGAGTCAATAACAAACTCGGCAAACAGTTTGGGAAGCATTGCTTCTTCTGAAGAAATCGATTGCTTTCCCGAAATAACCAAATTCTCACTCTGAAAAATCAGAAATAAAATTAATACAAATATGAAGATAATTATATTACATTGGATGTGATGATAGTCTAAATGAGTGTTGGAATAAAATTATTATAATACTAACATTACCATTCGTTTAATGTGATGCTTTCTCAGGGGGCTCCAGCTTGTCTTTCATATAATTTTGCATGCAATTTCTAAATTTGTGCAACTGCAAAAAAAAGGAATTAGTTTTGAACCTAAATTTTTCTTCTCAACGATAGGTAGTGTATAACAACCAACTGACATTGCTCTATTGATATCAATTGAAAAGCTGATGTTTTTATATGAAGTATAATAACCGTTAGCTAATTGAAGTTGACTAACTAACGCTAACCTATACTAACGAATTAATTATCTTTAACTGATATGATATTAATTTCCAACAACTAAGTATCATCAACAGACATTCAGTAACTAAGTATTAACTATCAGTAACTAAGTACTATCATCAACATAGAGCAATAAGTATCATTTAACAAATTGTTCAAATGTAACAATCCTTTGAAATTAGCCTGCTTAGAAAATTAAATGCAACAATTATCGATATTAAGCAACATTGATGTATAAGTATTCAAACAATTTGCTAAACAATACTTATTGTCATGTGGTACTTAGTTATTTGTAATTAGTATTATGATAAAAGTACGACGTTTAAAATAAAATATTAAAATATGTGAAAAGAAAGTGACCCTATACGGGTAACAGTAATAAAAGATGAAAAGACGGTTACCTCTTCTTGGCATTCGCGCCAATCTTTTGTATGACCCATACATTCAGCACACGCCAAATGCTCTTTCCAACATCCAGTTTTCCGAATTGCGCGTTCAAAAAAATCGTATTCCTCTTCCAGTCGTTCTTTTTCCATACAAATAACCAGAAATCATCAACTGGAAATTAATTTGCACAGTGGGTATTACATTAATTGTTAGAAAATGTAGCACTGAAATTGTTGAAAATTGCTTTTGATTATGTTTCCCAAGATCGACTGTCTACTGTAAAGTCCGATATGATACAGTATGTGTAACATTCCTGTGGTAAATTTCGTTGATGTTAAATACAGTAATCATTACTTAAAATAAATTAAACTTCATGGGGATAGTCAGATGTTAATCTGTAAATCATTTTCTTTAAGCTGTAATAATTGAAATTAGTATCCGGAAATTTAGCATTCTTGTCACACTTCATGTCTTTAGTGCTAATTTATTTTATTAATCTGTAAGTTGATTTTAGTGATGGATATTGTACTGGGTGGAGATGAATCGTTAAGTACGAAACTAAATGAAACACCAACATCGATACCAACATCGATGGCAATTGTTGATGAAGTTAGTAATGAATCAACAAAATTATCCTTGCCAATTCCAGATTCTGAATCGATTCCTATTGAAGGAACATCAAAAACCGGTAATTTCAATCATCTTCTTTTGCTTAGCTTTGTAATATTCATTAATGAATTTTATGAAGTTCAGATCTAGCATCAACATTTCAAATTTTCCAAAAAACACTTATGATGTTTGTCATTTATTTAATGGATGGCCACTATGTATTTATTGTAGAGATTCCAACAAAAAGTTCGAATTCTTTTGCTAAATTGAGAAGGGGAAATAATCATCTGCTCGTTTCAAACACTCAACTAACTTTGAATTCTTTCCTCTTGTGTCTTGATATGATAAATATGCTATAGGTGGCAAGGAAGGTCGAATGATTAAGAGTTCGTCAACACGTGTCATTACAGCTGATACAACACATATGCATATTGAGCCGAGCCACATTATCGAGTACGAATGGCCGCCAAAATCTGGGGAACGTTATTTTATCCAAGTAAGTTCCGATTTTACATCATTTTAAGTAATTTATCACCGTCACATACATTTTTTTATTCCTTCATTTCCTGTTACACCGCTAATTTTATATGAATTCATCGTTTTTTATGTTTTTTTTTCTTATGGTTTCCTCTGTTGAATAGTTTTGTGGCGTATTACTTTTTCTTTCCAAAATGAACTTTTCTTACGGTTCTGCATTTCCTATATCATTTTATATAATATAGTCATTCTTGTGAAATTCGGTATGATTCTTTCCACATTTCTTTGCCATTCTAAAGATTTGGCCTTTTTTTGTTATAATAATAGTTTTTCGTTTTCTCGCTTAAAATACAGAGATACGATCCACTTTTTTGAACCTCTTTTGTTGTATAGCAGACCCGCAATTTGATGAATATTTTGTAGCAAAAATTAGAAATGATAACCGTAGTTTTATTTCCTACTTTTTCAGATGTTTCAGTATATCTTTTGTTTTCTTTTTTAATGTCTAAATATCATAATGGTGACTTACTTATAAGTCGCTCATTTCACATTTGATGTTGGTTGTGAATATCATTGTTTTGCGATCTGCTAAGCTGCATGCAAATAGTTATCGGAATGTTTTATGCTGTAGGCTATATTTCAGTCATTTGCAGCTCACATAATACAATTCTTTATTTAGGAACAAATTGCGGAATTGCTGGATGTGAAGTCATTCAAAAGAAAATATCCTGAACTGAGCCGGCATACTATAGAAATCAACGAAAGGGAATATTTGCTGGCTAATTATAAACTTGCTACAGCTATAAATGAGCACCGTAAGTTCTAAATCGAATCTTACAAACAAATCCCGATTTGTCGATTATTGAGGAAACTTCCATGTGCTGCTGTTCAAATTTATGTGATATTTATGAATGTATTTTGTATTTTCAGAAATGCATGGTCTGACAGCTTTAAGGGCAATTGAGGTTCATGAATTGATGGCTTCGGATTATCCAGCCATATATTCGGTATGCTATGGGCAGATTTTGTTTCTATAAGAAGGGATATATTTAGAATGTAACCATCCTTAGCAACATATTCTGGCTTTCAACTAGAATTTTTTTCAGTTGTCATAAATTTTTTACTTCTTTAGGAATACCAGAGAGCAGCTGCTGATAAAGTGAAATTGCAAATGGCGGAAGAGCAAAAGCGATTGGATGCTGTATGTTTCAACATTAATTTAATTAAATATTTGAGAAAGACAATTTTTGTTTTGAATAGGATATATGCATTGAGTATTTCAGATTAAGCTCGATACAAAGAAGATGGATGAGCTGAGAAAGAGTGCTATAAGAAGCGCTTTCGAATTTAATTCTGAAATGAACGCAATTAAACGAACCGAACGACGCTATTTTTGGGATTTGCAAACATCGGTATGTTACGGAATTTTATAGAATCCATAACTGTCATATTTCGTGAAAATAAACAACCTCTTTTTTTTTCTTCTCAGATCATTCAGTCATCAAAAAATCGATGGAAACGGATGCCTCCAGAATACACACAACCAGGACCTTATCCTGCTGCGCTTATTCATGGCCAATATCAACACTTCTATAAAAAGTATATATTTTCTTGATTTTCTAATGTCATTATCACCTCGATGAGGCCGTAATTTTTGTTCATCACGCTAATTATTGCTGTTTTGATAATGCTTTTTCAATGAGTTTCAGTTTTTTTTTTTCAATGAGTTTCAAAAAAATTTCAATGATTTTGAATTTCAAATGTTTATGTTCTGTTACAAATTTAGGTTTACTTCAAAAGAGTTACGTCGATTACCGTTGTCTACTGTGCTAGATTATGATTACCTTCTCCCTCCGAAACGACCTGTTTCACCATTACCTGTCATTGTTCATGAAGAAGAGGTAACAGTGACAAATGCTGATAGCAGTGATCCTGGTCAGCATGATAACCAACTCGAGCTACCACCTCCAGTTTTATTGCCATCTAATTATAATGATGATATCAGAACAAAGTTGGATAAAGTTGATTCTCAGGTTAGTGTTTTATTATTTGAAGTGCTAATGCACTTCCACTGTTCATTTTCGAATTTTTGTAAGGGACGATAGCTGATGATAAGGTGATATCTGTGATCATTTCCTATCTACATATCTGCGATTTCTTTCATTTCTCCAAAAAGTGAATTGGCGTATTTGGCATCTCTTCCATCTTTTTTTGCATTACCTTAATATCATTCATGATTTCTCATCCAGTCATCTTCTGCAAACTTTTCATCAAATTGCTGATATCTTCAGATGTACTGGTCGGAAGAATCCACTCGTTTTGTCATCGACAACTGAAGTAATCGGAAATCTTTGTTTTCAGAACTTAGTTTTTATAAACTAGAACTTTGTTTTTTGAAGCTTTCGCGTTAGCCAGATAACTTCATGCGAAATGATCATTTGGACATTTTGTGTCACATGATGCCTGGAGGATTTAGGTTGGAGTCGCTGTTGATGACATCCGGATTATTTGACGTTTCAGATGATATTTTTTAGCATCGTTGATTGAAAAAACGTTGTAATATCTTTTTGATTTACCAATTTTGTTTTGTTAGTGCTTTATTGCTTTTGCATAGTTTATTCCTGCATATTGTAAAATTTTCTGCCTTGATCATTGCAAGCTGAACTTCAGGAGCCTCTCTGATTCGTTGGCTTGCGATTCAGTAAGGTTTCATAAGATTTACATCACCGATTTCATGAAAATTCATTCCTTGGTCAATTTTTGGTTGCGTCCTTACTACTTTGGTTTATATGGTTCATTCCTTTATTCCTTGGAGAGAAACTTGCGGAATCATGAATTTATCGTCTTGGTTTTTGTTGTTCCGAAATGTAGCAATCTCTTCTAAATGCAAAAAATGGCTTTCCAAATCCTTAAAGAAATAAGTCTATGCTTCAATATTTCATCATTTTTATGATTTTTTATTCATTTGCTTGATTGATGTCAATCTCTTATTTCTTTCTAAGTCTTCATGAGATCGGATGATGATAAGTACATTTACTGAAGATCGGAAATTCTCAATGATAAAAACAATTCAGAGCTTAATCAAAAAGTGGAATAGGTACCTTCATTGAAGTGCACTTAACTCTTGATATATCAATAATATTGATGGTAAAGCACGAAAGTTAACTATCGGGGGATATTTCAGCTTCATATTTTTATGCGTCTTTCTTCATCAAATATTCTTTTTACTAAATATATGCTTTGTTTGTTATATATTTATCATGTACATAAATTTTTGCATTTTTTATTACGTGTGCGGCATTTATATGTGGTCTTTTTAATTGTTTCTACTCAGCGAAATTTTTATCTGATACTTCATATGTCGAAGTAAGAGATTTATTTTAAGCTTATTATTTTTATTTAACCGTTATTTTGATCTCCAAGCCGACTGCATTCGTTTCTATCAGGTATACTGATGTTGCATTATTTTGAAAATTTTTTTTCCTCTGTAATATATGATTCTCTTTTTGAATTACTGTTATTGCAGTTGTAGTTTTGGAGAATTATGGACTTATGGCATAGTGAATGTGAATAGTAAAAGTGCTTTTGATGTAATTTAAGGGTGTTTTATCGTTGTAGTAGTTTAAATGTAGTAAATTCTTACCTTCAAAGTATAGTTTATCTTTTGTTAGATATATGTGAAACGTACATATTTTGGAAAGAGCAAAAACAAAACAAGCAACAAAGTTTGATATTTTGATTTGAAACATAATGAGTTGACACTCTAAAAATATTTATCATTTATTTATACCCTTACTCTTCCGATTCTCTATTTATTTATTTATTTATGCTAAGGAGAACGAAAACGCATAATTGATCATTGATTATATTGGTCAAATTGCTGTCTCATCATGTTTTCTTATTTCATCAATTCTTTCTTTTTTTTGTTATCTTTGAAAAGATCATTGATTTCACCGAGTCATAGAATGTAGTTCATTATGTGAATTTATTATAGTTGAAAAGAAAGAAAGTAGGAAGAGGAGAAGAGAATATTACTGTTTATTGGGTAAGTGATAGAAATAAATTTTGTAATTTTTATTTTGGAGAAGAGAAGTATATGTGAAGATGGTGAGAAATGTCGGGTGGACGTAAATTTTTTCATACAAAGCAATAATTTCGATTTTCTTTGTCATTTTTCTATCTTATACTGTTGTCTGGGCTGGTAATTCCTTCGATTATTTTCTCCAGTTTCCAGTTTAATTGCGGAAATTTTTTATGTTATCATTAAATTCAATTGAAAATAAAGAAAGGGATGGTATATCTAGATGATCTGATTTGATTTATCAATGACTAACAGTAATATAGGTTTAATTTTAAGATATTAATCTCGGGAAAGAAGTAGAATCGATCGTGAATGCGGTGAAGCTACAAAAAAACAGTTTTAACACTTGTTTCAATTATAGGATTTAACTAACCAACAACAGCAGTGTTCAATATGCGGTGAAAATGAAGAGCGTCAGATGTTATCCTGTTCTAATTGTAATAATATAGTGCATCCGGATTGTGCCGGTTTACCGGAACACGTTGTTAAAGTTGCATTGAATTATAGGTGGAACTGCATTGAATGCAAGAAATGTACAATATGCGAAAAACCGGATAATGAGGTAAAATATGTAAAATATATTGATGAGTGTTGTGATTTGATTTAGTGGAAAAAGGAAAATGGAAAAAAGGAAAATTGGATAAAAATTGAAACAATTTTAATATAGAGGGAGTTATGGTACAATATTGTGAATTCGAGTATCATTTATAATTTAGAAAAACTAGTATTTTAGAATTTTAGAAATCTGAAATATTGTTAGAAGAGTCATGATTAAAATATTTTGATTGTTCGGCAGAATTTTTTCAAATCTTTACGGGGTCGTTTTGTCTATTGAGTGTTTATTTCTTTCTTAATTTATCAGCTGTAATTGAAACAGGAATTGTGTATGGGAATACATAATTCCTACTTTCTGTAATCATTTAGTTGTCTATATGAAGGCACTTCAAGTTTGAGTATAACTTGTGGACATTGAATAGCTTAAGGCATATATGACTTTCGCCATTGTTTTATATGAACTATTTGTTTCGCTTAACACTATTAACATTTCAGAGAAATTATTTTAATACTTGTTTATAATATAAGCGTAGGTAAGTGTATGTTTGTAGGGGCATTGATTAAATGAGCATTTGCAGGATGCGATGATGTTTTGCGATCGTTGTGACCGCGGTTATCATACATTTTGCGTTGGTTTATCGTCTCCGCCAAATGGTAACTGGATTTGTTCCAGTTTCTGTGCTGATCACAGTGTAACAGCGATGGAATAGCACATGTAATGCATAATGGATGATATTGCTTTATCACAGTACAGTGTTCCCTATGAAACTTTGAAATGTAATTTCTCCCATTCAATTCAGAAATTTATTTCTCTCGAAAACGTTTGTTCATCTCAGTGATTCATTGCATATCTTTTCATTTAGACCAATGCATTTTGTGGAAAGGTCATAGATTATCCGTCTCCAGCATGATTATTTTTAGCTGCTGAGATAATCATTGATAACGTAAACTGATATGGATTCATTTAGTCTGACAGTATACAATATCAGCTAAAAATGCTTGTAATGAATTACTGGAAGTTATTTTGGTAAATTAAATAGAATTCATGGATTCTCTGAATTTAGCAAATAATGTAAGCAGATTGTAGATGTAGTTGTATCATACAATTTCTGAGAAATATTTCGTTCATTCTTCTATTATTGAATCATCTCATGTCTTTTTAAGCGAAGAAAAACAAAGAAATTAAATAGATTAACTGAAAATTTGTTAGCATTCATTATTTATCGACATTCCATATCTAAACAGCACTTATTGCTTGTTGTATATTTCTTGTTGACATTTGTTAATTTTTCCTCGTATTATATATTTCGTAATTCCATTGTTTTTCCATAGTTCGTTCATGTTAAATATTGTGGAACCATCGGAGATACGTTATTTTCACCTTTGCACATAGAATACTCATTTTAAAGTTAATTATGATAAAATTGTTTTTCTGCTTGATGAAATTTTATTTTATTTAGCTGTGAAATAATGGATGATGAAATTTCTCTTACTTTTTTTTTTTCAAATTTAGTTAATGATATTTTTTTGGTTCATTTTTATTGATGTTAATTTTCGAATCTATGAAGCACAAATTCGTGATTATGAGTTTCCATAGTGTTTTGCAGTAGTATTCTTCTGCAAATGAAATTATGAAATAACTGGCACTATATGAGTTTATGGTTTCTCATTGAGCCATTAAATAACAATTGATTTCTTTTTTTCTTTCTTTTTTTGAACTCACTCTCTCTCTTTTCCTGTCTTTCTCTATGCATCTTTTTTGTCCGGTAATTTAAGAACGGTTGATGAATTCGTGATTGCCCCGCTTTATATAGTACGCATAGAATCTTTCATTGCTGTAAGCAGTCTGAAACTTTGATCTTTCAATTTTAATATTTCATGTCACTCAATAAAAGTACATGAATTTGTTGCTGTGAAAAGAGTTTATTTTGTGATAGATTCACTGTTACTGAAAGATTTCTATGAATTTAATTGAAATAAGCGAAGATTTGAAATATTGATGTCAAAAAATTAGTTGCTGATACCGGTTGTATTTATTCATATCACTTTAATTCATAATTTATGTTTTTTCAGTTGTATTTAAATTTGCAAATGCTTGAATCGTTACCACTTTTTTGTTTATAGTTCCTATGAAGGGAAATAAACTTTGTATCTGTTTGTTTAAAATATTTGATCCATGTAACTTTCATAGATTTATTCGTAACGTTTATAGGCATATTGATGTTTGAATCTGTTTCCTTCTTTTTGCATGTTTTCAAATAACTTTTGCAGCTAACTGTTTCGATTGATTCGAGTAAAATAATCAGGGAAGGATGAAGGAAGAGAACTCATTTATCGTTCTGGATGAGTTATGAGGTTTCTTAGTAACTTTCTAGAAAGAAATATCGTCCAAAATCAATTTTTCTACAATAACAGAAGATTCTTGATAATTGAAATTTCAAGGAGGTTAACTAGATGCTGAAATGTTTTCTGGATGGGAAAGTATGAAATGTGGTAGAAAGTTGTATTATTTTATCAGTATGGTATTGTATTAGCCATTTGTAATTTTTTTTTTTTTTGCGAATGAATGATAATCCATTTGATGGAAGAAAAAGATTGTTTAAAATTATGGTTGAAGTTTCAGTTTTTCTTTTTTCGAACACATGTTGTAAACGCTGTTCTAAACGTTGTATTCGTTACGTGCTTTGTGGTTGAATTTTTCGGAGAGCTGGTTGAAAGTTAATTGCGGCAGAAAGAGTTGATGTGGGGTGTAGATGTCAACAATCTCTTCGAATGCTGATATCAATACCAAGTATCAACGTGTTGCTGCAGAATATGCAAAGGTTTTGTTTACTTTTTTGTTTTATTGAAAATTGTTGCAGGAAAAACATATGAGAAGAGTTTTCATTTTTTATTGATTTACATACATACCATCAGATCATTATGATGGATAATGGAGAACTTTCAAGCTATTTTAGGGCATACTTAGTGCAAAATCATAGATTTCTAATTCTCAAAAGAAATCAAGTTTAGTTATAAGATATTTTGCATCCTTCAATACAATTGAAAATTAGGATTTTTCTTTTCTTATGGTGGTGATAAGCTTATAAGTTTTCAGTTAAACACAAAGCTTGTAAACTTTGAACTTTTAAAGTAGTGTAACAACAGAAGTTTTGATATTGAATCAAGCTAGTTAACTAACCATTTATAAATTTTGATGAAATCAAAGATTTTTACATGTCTCTGTTTTTGCAGTTGAAAGTTCAGATATCCACATTGAAGAATGCTGTTATTGCGGAACAAGCAAAAAATGAAAAACTATCGGTTAGTTACTTACATGGAATTTAAAAAAAAAAACGAATTGTTCATTTTACCCAATTATTTGATTCGTTGCTACTTCATTGTTTTCAGTAAATCCTTATAAATGTTCCTTTTTTTTCTATGACCCTTCATCCAATTCTTGTTTTTAGAGATGTTTTCCTAGTTGTTATTTGGAAGGATTACTTCATTTCAGTCATTTCAAGCAGTTTAAGAAAATTGAAGGGTATTATAGCAGTAGTCTCGAGTTCAGTTATTGGGAGAATAAGAAATTTTGTGGTTTGTTGTTTAGACAAACTATATAATTATGAGAATATAACGTGTTATAGTGGAAAATGGGTAACTTCTCCAACTATGCAGCCTTTACATTTTTCAGAATGCTTATATTTTATGTTTTTTTTTAGATGACTATTTTATTTTTGTCTTACAAGTGTGTGAAAGAGAGACCCTTAGTGAAACATTACTCAATCTTGTTTCTAGATTTCCTTTAGAGCTTTTAGATTGATTTGCACAATAGCGAATCGGCATTGCGGAAACTCGAGAACGAAAAGGAAGGATTTGAATTTCGGAATAGTCAGCTGGTGAAGCGAGTCGAATCGTTACAAAATGAAATCGATAATGCTAAGCAAGCATCCGTTAAGGTTGGTTTGTTTTGAATTTTTCCTTAAAATCGTTATAGAGAAAATCATTATGTCGGATTTTTTGCCCGTTTTGAATTTTTTCTTCCTTAGAAACGAGGGCTATTTCAAAAGAGTGCACGTGTAGAACGTTCGTTTGAATTGGATAATGGAGTTTTGCAAATGGAATTGCAGAAAAAAGTGGCAGAAAATGAAACATTGCATAAGAAGGTATTGCTTTTGATGCAACCATTTATAAGTCTTTTTATGAATTCCATTTTACAATATATTGTTCTTCGAAGTGAGTAGCTTATCAAAAAAGACATATGTGACAGAGCTTTAGGTAAAATGCAGTTGAAATTGAATTAATTAAATTGATATTTAAACTAGGTCGAAGTTGTATCTTTCATCATTGTTTTTCTGATGCAGAGAAATAGTTTTCAGTGATGAACAAAAGTATAGTAACCAAAAATTTTCATCGGTTTTTTTGTGTTTGTATAACGTAAAATTGGATATTTCAGATATCCGAACTGGAAAACGAATATACGGAAACATCGTCAGCTCTTAACGAACAATATAGGACCCTTGAAATCGAAAATGTGAGGCTGAAAGAAGAACTTAAGAGGATAAGGATGAATGTTGGAATTGATCAGGCAGTGTCAGTACTTAGTTTTCTTTTAAATTTATTTGGGCCTATTGTATTTAATTTTTTATTTTCTGACAAGTTTGAGCTAGTATTCTGTTCTTGAATCGGTCGTTTAGAAAGATAGAACTGATCGATAAAAAATCCTGTCTATCTCTGTGTTATTTTGAAAATATTATTTATTTTGAAAATATTAAAATATTATTTAGAAAACTGTTTATATTCATTATCTGTCATATCTTATGCTATTAATTATGAATAGCACAAAATTTTCGTTTTTTTGTTCAGGAACTGTAATATGGAAAAACAGTCTAAAATCCAGTTTGCTGTTGAGAACATGTCAGCGATGAAAGTTGACGGTACAAGAAGTCGAGATTTGGTAAATTACATTTTATTACATGCGAAAAATTCATTTCCGAAAACAAATTATGTCTAGAATTACTATGAACTATGTAATATAATCATTTCTGGGATTAATAAATTTCAAATGAAATGAAGTGGTTGTTTTCCTAAAATGTGGATTAGAGATTAATTGAAGAAGAGAACATTTTGTAAATACAACTTCTACCTGAAAATGCTTATTTGTTTTAGAAAGTATTTGTGCAGATTAATTTTTGTTCACGTGAAGTTTATCTCTTTACAATTTCCTCTTTATTATTTTTTAAGGTGTTACATTCTGAAGGATCTGTCGCTATGAAGGAGACATTGCAAGTTCTATGGCTAGATGCGTTACGTATGGCAAGAACACTAACAACTGGATTTGCAAATTTATTACAGTTGTTTGAGCAACGCTCCACAATCTATCCAAATGATAGCAATATGGAAAAATTACCGGAAAGGACACTTCTGGTGGGGAAGTAGAGGTCACTTGTAGTGGTTGCAGTAGAACAATTTTCTTGACGGCTTTTGCTTGTTTTATTAAATTTAAGTAGGTGTTGACATGGTTTTGAATATTTCAGAGCAACTGCTATTACTTAATGTAGAATAATATAGGATATGATTCATTATTTGGATTATACAGTGGATGATAATTAAAATGACTTTTAGAGGGATATAAAAGAATGACACGCATAGGATCATAGATCATTTGTCTATTTGTCTATGTTACTACTAGTATTTCTTTTTGTAGTATGGACGCCGATTGTTATCAAGTTGTGATATGTTTGAAGCCTGTTCAAGCAGCATTGAAAATATTCTAGTGAAAAATACTGATAATGACTGCTGCAACTTATCTGCTGAATGCTCGGGAATTACTTCAGTTATTACTAGCGCATTGTTTTCTTGTCAGGTAAGCTTATTAATTGTCATTCATTGTTTATGAATGGCATATTTTCTGATGGAGATTGCAATACCAAATTTATCTCCATGATATGAACTACTTATTCTTTGAAAATGGTTAGTTGTATGAATTGAAAAAATAATTTGGAGTTCATTTTGCAATGATTAGTAATCACTCAAAACTAAATAAGACGCACTGAATAATCTAATGATATCTTCAAAAAAGTGTTGCTATAAACATTTCATTTTGATTACAGGAATGGCAAGAATTGTTTTATGAAAACAGTGTTGCTGAAAATAAGGTATCATGGTGTGGAACGAATCTAAGCAGATGTAATGATGATTGGACCACTGCATTTCTTACACTTGTTCGATCTCTCAATGTTCTATCTCAGAAAATTGAATGCAACGATGATCAGTCTGCATTTGATTTGTTTGCATTGCTCGAAAAATCGAGAACATCCTTGACAGGTATAATTTGAGTAATTTATTTTTGCCATATAATGTCAACATAGAAATGTTATGGGCAGTATGAAGAAATATAATAGAATTCATAACAAAGTTTTTTTTCTCATTTTTTTTTCTTTTTTACAGATTGTAGTCGTACTTATACGGCAAAAATTTTTAACGAAAATCACATACCGACAGCTACGAAACGGTTACGCTGTGTTAATGAATGTATAAACAATTGCTTAACATCACTTCATCGCAATTTTAATAACTTTGTTGCATTTGTACAGCTGATTATGAACTCTAGTGAACTAAAAAAGTATGTTGTAATATTGGATTATTTATGATATGAATACATGTGACCTGAATTTACAAACTGAAAATTTGGTTTCCAGATTAGACGTTATTTCCAACGATTCAGAAGATGCTCATCCTTCATTAGATTTTGCACTACCAAGTAGTGATGTAAAGGCGATAGCTAATGAAAATGATGGCGAAGCTAAACTTGAGGAGGTATATTTATTAGTGTTTCGTTATTAACTAATAGATCTATTTATTTGAACATTGAGGACATTATTTTATCTTAATGCAAAAATATAGATAGATATTTATTGCAGGAACAGATGTCAAAGAATAGATGTACGCGGTCAGCTACTGATTTTTGGAAATCCGAAGTATATTTCTGTTATTTGTCCAATAATATACTCTTACATTTAATAATATTTTCTTCTGATTTATGTCAAATATGACAGTTTGATAGAACTTTCATTATCAAACCAAAAATATTTTCGACATAGAGTTATAGAATTTTGAAATGCCTGGCCGCTTATTTCTTTCTATATTTTATACTTGATCTATTTTTGCAGATAGAATTAGCAACGAAAAGAATTATTGAACTAGAAAAGGAAAAAGAGCGAATCACTTTGGATTATGAACTTCTTAAAACGAAGTTAGAGTCAGTCAAGTGAGGATTTTTTATCCTGTGTATTATATTATTGTTTTTACTATCTTTTTGTCCGCGTATTTTGCAGCTTTTCTGAGATATACTGTAAATAGCTCTTCACCCATATTCCCTTTCCAGATTAGGAGAGCTACCAATTCATGTAGGAAACTGCTCAAGGGTATTATGATGAGACAGGTGCCTTATACTTTTGTAAATGTTTTGAGATAAGCAGTAGAAATTGGTTAAATGATATTGCTTCTCTTTGAAATACCGAATTATTTAGATTGTCAGAATCTAGAACTTCTGCGTCAGAATTTTGCTGTAAAGATACAGATGTGATTTGTTCATATTTCGAAGAACGAATTGGTGATTTACATGCTGATATCGAACATATTCGTAGTCGAGCTTTTTATTATAAGCATGAAGTTTGCTATGTCTACTTCATATATTTGTTATTTTGTTCACTTTTAAGATTTCATGCTACATTCTGTAGTGGTCAATGATTTTAGCTTTCCCAATGTATCTATTTTTTATCCAGAGTAAGAAGTTAAAAAATAGATATCTGTTTCAGTGTAAAGATTTGCTCAAATTAGCGAAACTGTCAAAGCAGGAAAATAAAACGCTACGCGAGGAACTGAATCTTGTAACTGCGAGGGAATTAGCATTGAAGGTTGTTTTAACTGATCGAATAATTATTGTTGAATTTTTCATTGAATTGCAAGATTTTTCTTTTCGAGAACAAGTTTAAAGTTTGGATGAAAACAAAATACTTCAGGAAGAGTTAGAAATGACACGGAAAAATTATGAAGCGCAACTACAAAATTTGCATGAACATATTGCAAATTTAAATACTAGGTTAGATGAACAGTCAAAAACAATGAATTCTTTCAAAGACGTGTTGAATGGAGTAACTTCTACTAAACAGGTTTGTTTTGAGATAGATAATTTTTGCTCATTTTGCGGAAATCTTATCTTCAATTTGATTATATAAAAATGTTTTTTGACTATTTATTTGAATTATTTTTACAACAGCATACGGAAAACGTGCTGTTTTTTAATAATCCTGCATTAATATCAGTCTGGAAGTCATAAGTAATGAAACTAGAATCTTTCGTTTGAATGTTTCAATAATCAACAAGAGAGGCGTGAAAATATATCAAAAATCATTTCTTTTTTTGATTTGCAATAAATTTTTTGAAATTTTTGCTTTATACATCAGGCAGCTTAAATCCTATGTTCGAAAAAAAAGTTCTTGACATAAATATTTTTTAATTTTTCTTTTCCAGAATGCTCGAAAACCACTTCTCAAATGACGAATAATATCTGGTGAAAGACATTGATAATTAATGTCTGCATATGTATACATTTAGAAGAAATTTGTCCGTAGGACTTTATCTGATATTGAATATAATATGTGATATGTAAATGTCGTTTCCCCTTTTCCCACTTTTTTGATGGAATTTTGCAAAATTCTGTATGAATTTAATTTAATTCAGAGGAGCAGAAATGAGAAAATATTGAATATTGTTATTGGAGGGAAGAAAATATTGCGAATGATAGTGGTGTGATCTTTTCCTGTTCAGCCCAATCTCATTCTTTCAGTTTCATCTCTAAAAACAGAAAGATAATGAGAGTAAAAGGAAAAGAACAAGCGAGGCAAAGATATAAATTTTGCGTTCGTAACCGGGTGTTGTAATATGTGTTTTTTACTGTAAAACACCACTTTGTTAAGTGCTTTGATTTTCTTCACCTTCTGTGGTGATGCCTTTTCACTTTTACTTTACCTCCTTTTTTGTATGTTTTTACGAGAATTGTCAAGTGTCTCTCGACATATTTTCTTGTTTTTTTTTTAATGTTCTTTTTTCGAAATGAAAATGATCATTTTTTCGGGTAAGCATTCATCATATATTTGTTTATCTTTTTCTAATTCTCCAAAGTTACATTTGTTACTTTGCGATAAAAACTTAAATTTTTTTTCGGAGAGATATAACTGTTTATGTCATGCATGCACAGAGAAAGACTATTGGTCGAAATATTTTTAGTTTTAATTCATTTAGTTTTTTTTTTTCTTTTTTTTAATAAAGAAGGGAATGCTAATCTTCAAAACGCCTAAGTAATGCAAAAAGAAAAGTGTTAATTGTAGATGGATATATCTCATTAATTCATTTGATGAGTATCAATTTGCGACGTGAATATTCGGGAACTTTTATTCTTGATCTTTTTATAGAACAGAACAATTGGAATAATGAATTTTTACTTTTCTTTTTTAGAATTCTTTCAAAGAATTCTTTATGTTTGGTATATTTTCGGACTTTGGTCAAAAATTTTTTCATGTTTTACTACTAACTTTTTCATTTTTATCGTCATATGCAAAGCATTTCTGTTGGTGGTTACATCATTTCTCATTAGCATAATAAACGTTTTATCTACACCTATAGCTTAGATAATGGTTGGTGAAATTGAAATTCTGCTTTCATCGTTTTTACTTGTCATTCACGCAGTTGCATTAACTCTTCATTGATGAGGTGCTGAATTTCCGAATTTCTTTGTTAACTCGACATTCATTTTTTATTGGGGAGTGTTAGTTGTCGATTATTACGTTAATTTCAATGATTTAATTTAAAGTTTTATTTTGTGATATTTTATAATATTTTAGAAATGGATGGACTGACGGACGGAACAGTTATGCCGAATTTAGCATTAAGCATTCAGAATGGTGAAAGAGTGTATGGAGTGTTTGATAATGAAGAAATAAATGTAAATGATAGTCAACCTGGTCCTAGTCGACAACAACAAACAAACAAATTATCAGAAACTGGCAAGTAGCACTAAATCCAATTTTTTTTCCGATATTTTAGTAATAATCGGTAACGAATAACGAAGAATGTGTATTTGATGGCTTCAAGAGTTGGGATTTTAGATGAACAAACTTTATTTATGATAAGTAATGTATAGAGTTGAATAAGAGCAATTGTTCATGCCTGTTAGTGATAGATTAAAGAATTCATTTTTTAGGGAATGATGACTTGGAATTGGTGCTTGCAGAAATGGAAGAAAGCAATACATTAGAACTAAACAGCGCGGTAGGTTATTTTGAATGAGCTGTTACACCTTATGATCAGACTGTTTTATCTAGAGCATCTTCTATTGCAGTATTTTTCCGATAGAAGATATATGTATGCATTTTTATATTTTATTCAAAATTTAAATATCATTGAAATGTGCTTGTTACATATTTATTCACTTATTTTTTTAGCGATTTATTTGTTAAACAGTGAAAGTTTTTTGCATAGGGATTGAACATAATAAAATGCTACTGAAATTCTATTCGAATTTTCAAAGAATTCGAAGTTTTTAAATATTTGCATCAGCATGAAATATATTAACAATACTTTTAGATAGTCAACACTGAAAATGACCTATCCATCACTATCGATGAGGTGAATACTCTGTTAGCAATCAATGAAGCGTTTAATGAAACTTTGCAGAATTTAATCCGACGTGTTACATTAGCTATATCTAAGAATCGCGAGGCACAAGTAAATTTTTTCAAATCTTTTGAAGTTTTTAACTTTTTTATAGGTTCATTTTGTGCCTTCGAAAATATTTTTGCAGAAATTGTTGAAAGCTAAGTTACGACAAACAGCAGAACGTGGATTACGAATTAACATAAAGAAAGTGCCAGTTTCGCGGTTTTTATTCCCATATTTTCGGGATTCTCATGAAATGGTAAACAAATAACAAAGCTTTGTTTGGTGATATTCTGAAATACTAAATTATTTGTAGAATATTTAGTAAGTAGTAAGTGAATTATTTTATCTTATCGCTAAGATCTTTAATAAATAATAAATGAGTTCTTTATCATTCCACTGGAGTAAATGCAGGAGGCGTATAATTTTGCTTTGCTGTCTAGCAGAAAAAAAAAATGTTTACCATAGTAAATTCACAGTAGCGAGGTATCTTTGTTTACTCAAAATTGGCAATTATTATTTGGAAGATTTTAAATTTCTGAGATTTGAAATGTTCACATTTGAAGGAGCCACCAAAGAATGAAGAATATGAATTAAAAGTTTTTCGTCGAGAATATGATCCTTTAGTAAAGGAAGAAAAAAAATGTACGTGTTTCATTTCAGTTATTGAAAGAGTTCGTTTTATAATTATTTAATAATTTACCGACAGGGAAGGTTTCATAAATGCTAAAAAATGCAAGTCAGTATATTGTTGCTTAATTCCAGGGTCAGCAAAGGAATGTCAACTACTGGCAAATGCAGTGTGGAAATCTTTAATTGAAATTCGTATTCAGCCGTTTATTCAAAGGTCATTTTCTATGAGCAGTTGTTGAACCGATCAGAGAAAAGCATGATTATTCATTTTTCTCAAGAATATATTTAAAAAAATCTGAACAGAAACGACTCATTTGTCAACATTTTTTAAATTAATTCATCGAGATGGCGGTTAGAATAAGGAATGAACCAAACAAACATTTTCACACTGTTTTAATGATACGAATATTAATTATGACAACTCTTTTTATATTCTCTATTAAAGGAAAGAAATGCTTATGGAAAAAATTCGGGCTGCTGGACAAGAGACGTCAGGTGAACAAATAGCTGATTGGAAAAGTACTATTACTGAGCTGGAGCGTTTGATTGCATACCACAAGTAAGCTTTATGTCGACTGATAATTTTGAATGGTGTTGAAATGAAATTAAGAGTGGTTGATAGAGAGAATATAGTTTGTTTTTGCAGTGATTGAATTGGTTTCTTGTTATTTGCAGGAATCTACCGGAAAACGAGGTACTAATGAGTGATTATTCTGAAGTTGATTGGGCGAAGATTGCGAAAGTTGATGTAAGATATTATAATTCAATTATAGGAAGAAAAGTACATTGCTCTATTTTTTCATTCGGTACAATGCGTCTTTTAGTGATAGGATAATTGAATATAGAAAACGAATAAAGTAGAATCATGTTGTCGGTCATTGAATTGTTGACATGTTTAATTTATAAATTCTTTATATGTGGCTTTAGAACAGTTAATGTAATTGCTTATTTACTGCAGTTTCTCGGGAATCGAGCCCCAAAACAGCTAAGATTAAAATGGATCAATGAGCAATGTCCACGATGGTCGAAGGAACCTTGGTCTTCTGAGGAAATACAACGTCTAAAGGAATGTGCAGGACGATGGAATAATTGGAATGTAATTGCGGAACGATTAGGCACAAATCGTACAGCATTTCAGTGTTTTGTGAAATTCAGAAGTGAATTGGATATTGACAATGTTGGCCGGTTCGTTCCATGATCTGGTTATTTTTAACATTGGAATTATTTTAATAGAAGAATCTGAACTGGATTTTGGCGAAGTGAATCCATTAGAAAATCTTATATAGCTGCTGTGTCGGTCTTCAGTCTTATAGTTTGGCAATCTTGCTGTAAAGCGTCAGTAAGTTGAAATAACAATGATTATACTGAAAAATTATCCAAAGACTTTAAGTAGCAATAAATCTTTACATATTGTTTTCAAATACCAAGTTTTTACCAAGTTTCTTTCTTTAGTGCACCGCGTTATAGATATAATAAAATGCAGGAGAGACTGAATTTCTCAAATCATTTGGAAAACATCGATCGAATCATTTAAGGCATTGTTTAGTATAGATTATTTTCTCCTATTTTTTGACCGGTTTTTCAGGTCGTGGACGAAGGAGGAAGATGCCCAACTAATGACTTTGGCGCATTGCATGCAAGTAAATGGTAAAATGAGTTGGGACAAAAGTAAGTATCTGAATTTCGATTTTTGGTCTAAATGTCAAGCTTTGAAATAAATCACAGATTTTATTTTAGTTTTAATCTATTTTAGTTGCTCATTATATGGAGGAAAGATCACGACAGCAATGTACAATTCGGTATAGGCGAGCGCTTGATACTGATATCAAATTTGGTCGATGGGATGCTAGTGAAGATGTGGTAAGCAGAAGGATATATTTTTAGGGCTTTATCTTACGTAATTATATATATTACCTAAAACTTGTTTCTCTTCAATGTGCTATACTTTCAAAAAAGTTCAGGAGGTTGAAGTTTAGCAGACATTTTGTTGAAATTTGAGTTGGAATCTGAAAGACTGATGTTTTGCTTTGGTAAATTTCAGCTTTTAACATGTTCCGTGAGCCGATTTGGAACAAAAGACTGGATAAAGGTAGCATCGTGTGTTCCAGGAAGAAGCGATTCGCAGTGTCGTGATAGGTTTGCTCCTTTTTTTCCTAAAAGATATCTTGAATGTGTATTAATTGTTCAGCAACTACTGTTCGTGTTTCAGGTGGGTAAATGTACTGGACAAAAGTATTAAGGCTGAGCCATGGTCAGTGGATGAGGATGAAAAATTGCTTGAAGGAGTAAGAATTTTCGGAAAAGGTAAGTAGAGTATTGGATGAAATATACTTTGCTCTCAGATTTTTTTTGTAACTCGAGTTATACAAAAAGACATTTATCAAACTTAACATATCTTTTAGGTGAATGGTCGAGAATTTCAACAATACTTCCAGGTCGTTCCGCATCACATTGCAAGTCACGCTTCCGATCACTTCTTTCAGCAAAAGTGAAGGTTGTCTTTTTATGCTTTCATTTCAGTTGTTTTATTTTACCATCTTTTTTAATAGTTCTGTATTAGGTTTATTTTAGCTGGCTTCGGAGTGTCGCTCATATCCGTTCAGACGTTTTAGTTGGAAAGGCAAACATCGTCGGCAAGAAGTAATCACTGTTTTCATGTCTAACATTCAAACTTTTGGTGAAAAGAATTTTTATAATTGGGTGATTTTGTTGGCTGGAATTATATTTAAATATACTGAAGTTTTTGCTTTAAAATTTTCAGTATTTAGGTTGAAGCAGCATTCCGTAAGCTATTAGCAGCTGATGGTAAAGGAGGTCTTGCAGAACAAGTCATGAATTCATTTGATATGGTAGTTTTTTCCTGATACTTTTTTAAACTGATATGCTAGATTAACCTCAATGAATTGTTATTTGACGTTTCAAACCTCCCAACACGTGGTGAATCTAAATTGAAGCATACGGAGCATTGTTCTGGTATATTGAATTCATTTCCAAACGAGTTTATATATGTTTAATAGGTATTTTCTCTTCTGATGCATCTTTGGGAAGAAAACTGATAAAATGCTTTCTGATTTTTCTGAATTTTTCTCAACATATTATGAAATGAGACTGTTACAGCGAGCATTAAGTGTCGATGAAATGGAGGCGTTATCTGTGATGGCACCTCAGCAAAGAATAATGGTAATGCAATTCTTGAATGAAATTCGTGAAAAACGTCTGGAGAATGATGTGAAGGATGGTCAGTCGATTTGGAAATTGTTGAGCGATAAGTTGCAATTCAATACCAGGTGAGAGTTAATAAAATTAACGAAATCAAATAACGAAAGCGGTTATACAAGTTACCACAATTGATTTTAAAAAGATAATGTCAAATTTTAGTGTAGGACAAACTGATTATTGAAGGAACTAAATTTTTCTAATAAAATAATCATAACCGATATTTAATTTCTATAAAGTTTATAATGACATGCTCTTTTATTTTTGTGGATGGATTTTGTATTGAAAAACTTACTTTGTGAAAGTTAAAGGTAATAAGACTCGCTCCCATTTTTTTTACTGTTGTATTTCTTCAGTTACTTGGATAGTTCAACACAAAGTGCGCTACTGAAATATTACAAGAGATTCCTCGGCGGAAGTATAAGCGAGCTTTTAACACGTCATGAAAAAAATGAATTTGATATAAAGTGCAGAGTGTTACAAGAAACTGATCCGGAGGTTGCTTAGTTTCTTTTTATTTTAACACATCAAGGATAATCCTACTAATATCATCAGCTTTCTATGATGGTGATCATGACTGTTTAGAATACTTTAAAAAATATTTGATAATATTAGGTTATTAGCTTGGAGCTTGTGATTTCATTTAGCGAAATTATTGTAGGTACTTTTTTTCCTGCTTGTAGATTTTGAGGATATATTCTATTGATTTGATATCAACTGAGATATGATCACTTTGCTTCATCAGCAACAAATTTTCGATTTACAATCGTACGAATTATGTAACACTCTTGATTATCCGTAACAGATTACTTCAGATTACATGATTTCTTTAATTTAAAACTACTTTAGGCTGCAAAAGATCACGTCATTAACGCATTGTGTGATTTAATTGAACGAAATGACAATTCACAGTGTTATATGTATCAAAAGAAATTTACCAGAAGTCAAATTCTTGATGAAATTGGTCGATATCTTAATTCGGTTGGTGTGTTATTAATTTTAGTTTTGTAAAGACAGATCAGTTACCTGAAACGCTTAACTTGAATTTTTTCAACAGAAAAAGATTTCCTCTTTAAATTGTTGAATTCTATTTGCTCTTTTTAATGCAGTTTTTTAAGGTCCTTATTAATGATGTAAATAAAGCTGTATCTTGTGGCACTAATGCTTTTGCTATACCGCCTTGCATTGGATCACTACATTTATACGAAAATATTCAGGTATGTCATTTATTAAAAAAGATATAGATTTCGCACAACTCATAGGTCTGGTAAATGAAGTGCTTAGTAAGTAATTATTGCACTATTCCGATACATTTATTTATTTATAATCATTTTATCTTTGTTTTTTTTTTTACAACTTAAAAAAACATATATAGAAAACTTTTAATTCTGAAGATTACTGCTTTTTGAAGGAAATTAATTTTTATATAAGTTTATAATAGGTTAAAAATTCGATTTTGAATCAAAAAACAAATTATGATAAGAAATTTCTTTGTACAACTTAATGTTAGTATATTCTTATATGTAATCTTATATGTAACATATCCGACACATTTGCAATGTTCGTATCGAACTTAGGATAACCGACGACTACACGAAGAGAAAAAAGCTTTAAACGGACTAATACTAACATTATATATAAGAATTTTCCCTGTATATAGCGTTGTCCTTTGAATAGTAAATTTTATTACTCGAATTATACGGCCATGCAAAACAATTCATTTTTTCAGAGTTTTTATATAAATTTAGCATGGCTATGCTCCAATCTTTCAAAAATATCCTTATCATGTTAATTTTTTATTACTTGCACCGATTTATTTGTTAATTTTGATGTCTTTCTTTACTGCAGAAGCAAATGCACTTGTTACGAGAATCCGCCGGAGAATTCTTTGAACCGCTTGTTTCGGTATATTTTTTCCTTGTTTTTTTTTCTTCTTATATCGAACTCTATTAATTTCTATTTTAGTAAACGATAGAGATAAAATTCCAGGACCAGAACGATAATATATTTTTGCAACTTTCACGGCAGATTGTTTTGGATCCTGAATATGTTTTGCTTAAGGTTATTCTTTTTATTCTTCTCATTTACTTAATTAACAGCTGTTGTATATAGCATTCTTTCACAGTTTTAGCATTTCAAACTCAGCATTTCTTGTGAAACATTTCAGGCAAAGTTACGAACATTACTCTTTTGGCCAATGCTTTTATATCGATCAATAGAGAGTAAAGAATCGGTGGAAAGAAGAATGTATTTACGCTCAGTTGCTACTACGAAATTAGCAGAACAACAAAAGCAAGCTTTGGAAAGTTTTAAAATACGGCTTCAAAGTCAGGTACATCCTGATAAAGATTTTCTAACATCGGAACAAATAGCGACTTCGGAAACTGATTTTGATGATGACTGTGCTGCAGAATTGAGTGTTGGCGAATTCCTGAAGAAACGAATGTATAAACGGGTCAGCATTATTAACATATGATAATCAATTCTTTTTGACATTTTTTAATTAGCGAAAAATACAGATATTACACGTTAACGAATTCGAATTTCAAATCCATCGATTGACTTTCTTGCCTTAAAGCTGATCTGTTAAATGTTGAAACGGAATTTTCACATTTCTTCAGTGTATTTTTAATTCTCATGTGGAATAAGTTAAATTTTAGCCGCGAAGATACATTACTGATAAAAAAGTAGGACAAGAAGATACCCACGAGACAGGCGTTGTTGAATCAGATGCAGCGGAAGCCGCAGAAGCTATGAGCCATCGTATCGACGAGTGTATCAAATCAGTTTGCACTGCTGTTCAGAAAATATATGAGCGTGATTTTATGGTAAATCTCAAAAATTGCACTGGAATATTTAATTTATTTTTGCAACACATTATACAACTCGTAAAGTATGCACAAAATCATAATGAAGTGAATCGCTTTAAGAATGAGAAAGAGTAAGATCATTACTTTTGACTATTTTTTGAATCATTCATCGTATATAATTTAGATTCCTGTAGCTTATAAATTGGCCGCGGAACAGTCGCATGAAAAAGGTGGGTTTTCAGCTTTAAACTTTTGTTTAAATAGTTTTATGCCATTTAAGGAAGTAAACAAAATCAGATTTATCGTGAAATCATATTTAATGTCGTATATGATCATTTCAAGGTCCTAATACTAATATCACGGAAGATGCGGTGAAGGATGCATTAGAGGCTGTTATCGATGAAATTGTTAGCGGTGCAATCAGTGAAACTATCAGCTTGTTACCAAAGATGAACGCTGTAGATGATAACTCTGAATGGAGTGATACCGTTCCAGAAATTCAACAGTGTGTAAAAAAAACTGGTCCCAGAAAGCGAAGTGCAGCCGAAGAGGCTTCAAGTACTAGCGGACAAGCTGGCAAACTGAAGAGAGCTAAAAAACAAACAGGTGTCAAATCACCGGAAAAGAATGAAATGAAAAAAGGGAGGGGAAAATTTGCCAGAAAGCGGAACAGTAAACGTTGATAATGTAGTTATTAAGGCATTCTTTTTCTGATCGAGAAGCTGAAAAAGTTTTTGACATTTATTAAGTATTACCAATTATTATTACGGGTTTGGTTTCTGGTATCAGTTCTTATTTTCTTCAAAAATTTACTCATGTTTTTATTTGCTGAAACGTACGTGTTCCATATGTTGTTATTCATTCCTTACGGGTTTAATTATGTTTTCTTACATATATAGTTATTCGTTTTTAATTTCTACTTTTTATTTTATCTGATGTTTTTAACAAAGTATCAGATTTTTATTCTACAAAGTGTCTATAAAAAGATTTTTCATGAAATAGAAGTTGCACTAAATTTAATTTTATCAAGCAAGACGTTGAGCACGGTCCTCTGAAATTTAATAGCTTACTAATAATTAACATGGTTCCGGAAATACTTGTTCTCTTTTTTTTTCCTTAATATGTGATAAGAATAGAGTGAAAGACGTTGATAAATTGGATCAATGAAATGAATCTTAGTTACGATACTGCCTTCCGCATTGATATATGTCATAAGGATCGATCATTTCTTGAAATGTTGAATAATGCATGTCACCTGGAATGGCACATTAATAAGATCACTGGAAATCACGGAATAATTTAAGCACGTTACTCTAAATTAACAAATAATTATAATATATAATAATCGATTAAGTAAAAATAATACACTGATTTCATCATCGATTAAGTAAAAATAATGCACTGGTTTTAGATTTTGTTTCTAATCTTGTAACGTTAAAATTTAATTTATGCAAAAAAAAAATTTCTTTGAACAAATATTTTCAATTAGCATTTTGCTTTTTGATCGAATTTAAATTGCAACATCAATTAAGCTAATGTTTTATGCATAACGATGGGAGAATCAATTGAGAAGGGAAAAGATTGCTTAAAAGTAAACAAAGAATTAATTCGTTGTCCTTTTCATTTCTTTTTTTTTTTCCTTTTTTTACTCCTTTACTGCTTCGATGGTTGATTTTTAGCTAACCAATCAACTCAAAAGTTTACACAAATCAATCCGGTTTATTTGCCTTTGCTACTGTGAAAATTTCCACTTTCCTATATATCATCAATTTTTCATGTATTTTTATTCATTTTAATGAGAAAAAATTTTTCTTCCATTTTTCTATCTTTATTTAGATCAACGTTCGCAGAATGTGCTTGATGAATTAAATCCAATTAGGCATTAAAACAATCATATAATTAATTATTCGAGTTTTTCCTAAATTACTAAAAATTTGCAATTGCTGAGGTTGATAGATTGTAATGACCACAAATACTCTTTACTTGTCGGAACTTGAAATAGATTTGCATTTGCAATTTAAGAATTTTTTATATAATTGAGAAATTTCAGCATAAAGAAATAGAATTTCTTGTGATATTTGTTTTATCATTTTAATCATTTACAAAATTTGCTCAATTATATTCTTCTTGATTTTATTACAATCCTAGTAAATTAAATCAATTCATTTCGCTATTGTATAGTGTTATTCGATGAAATTTGATATTAGGGAAATTTTCTTGTCTACTTCATACCTTCTTAGATAAGTGATCGAATAATGAGTAACAGCTATTTCCGTCATGGAAAAATATTTCCGAAAATTATTATTGAAAATGGATTATTTAGACCGGAATTAATTAATTATAGATAAATAATGGATCGTTATATGCATTCACAGAATAGTTTTTCATCAAATTATGGAATGCCATTTGTTGATGATTCCAATATTTTTTGTCGATTCACTCCAACGCATAGTCCATTAACTAAAGTGAGAGAGATTATTTGTCTTTTTTTCCGGTTTTGCCAATTTGATCATTTTTTTGTCCGGTTAGCTAATCGGATAATTCGATTAAATATTCCTGTCAACATTTTTTTTTCTTTTTTTGAGAATTAAATTAAAGTAATAATTTTGACTGAAAAAGCAGTATTGAAAATGAGGCTTTTTATCGTAGCAAATCATGAGTAATTAATTTTTATTGAATTGAACAATTAATTCTTTGATTGATTTGAAATGCATGCAGCAAGTTGATCAATTGGCATATGAATTACCGCACAATAAATATGCAAAAAATCCGTGGAGTTATGCACCGGAATTTCTCAAAGTATTTGGTGATGTTCGTGCGCAAATTGGACAAAAAGCATGCTTCGATTGTATTTTGCTTGGCTCACCACGACCGCGAGTTTGTTTCGATTTTTTTATTTTTATAACAATCAGATATAATATGTGTGTGTGTGTGTGTGTGTGTGTGTGTGTGTGTGTGTGTGTGTGTGTTTATGTGCATGTATCAGTCACACTTTTTTTTATCATCTTTTTTCATTTTCTTTTTTAAAAAAGAATTTTATCATCAAAAAAATAATTGCATGCATGTATTGCAAATAGATGAAATATACGCATGCATTAAGAAACAATAACAAAAGCTGAAAAAGAAAAATTCAACTCGATGGTCATGCATTGTATGCATCTAATGCATACAATGCATGACCATCGAGTGAATACAAGAATTGCATGCATTCATATTCATCAATAAGTTTAGTAGAATTTCATTAATGATTGGTATACGATATAGGCATGCAAAATTAAAGATTTATACAAATCTTTGATTGATTTGGTTGTCAATTTTTCATGATTCCAAAAAAAAAAAAAAAAAAGTTACGAATAAAGTAAAAGCGTACAATATCGGTAAGAAAAATTTTCATTCATTAATGTGATGATTGTTTATTCCAATAGGTTTGAATTGAATTATTTGAAAAGATTAAAAGTAACATATATTTAAGGTGTGTTGGTTATTTAACAATGAAAAAATGAAATTTGATGATGTTCAAATTGATGATACGGCTGATTTATGTCGTTTAACCATACCTATCATACAACATTATCATTATGGTACTTATATGGTACTGTGCGAAAATGAAGTTGGCCGAACGATAGCTTCTGCTAATCTTATACCAATCTATAATTAATTACATTTCAAGATGATATTTTCTCTTTTTACTTAAATATGATATTATCATAAAATATTTAGTCAGAATGATTAGATAATATAGATGGACTGTATCTTCTCTCCTTAACCTTCATATATGTTACGGAGTTCAAATGTATAATGCTTGAAAATTAAAACATATATCTTTTTTTTTTTTAAATTAAATCATATATCTTAAGAGAATTTCATAAAAGTTTGCAAATAACGATGTATTTTGAACATGACAAGGTAATATTTAATTTTTACAATGTAATTGATATTGTAAACAGAATTGCTAGGAATTCAGTCAGATTATTTATTTCAATTTATGAAATAATCTTTTTCTATCATGAAATGCATGATAGTTCAAAGTGCAACTGTCGCAGTTTGTTATACTTAAAAATGTTGCTTATATATAACTTAGTGAAGAGAATTATCAACATTTCGTGCTACTATTTTTTATGTTTGAATTTCGAAAAAGGATATTTCAAATGATTTTGCTACACCTTTAATCTTAATAAATTTACGGTTGTTCATCGGATAGTTTGCTTGTAAAAAGTTTGTCAACTGAAATTTCAATAGCTTAACCGTACAGGTAAAATTTAGAATTCCAACAAATAATTATCATATCAGTATAATTTATGCATTTCATAACCATCCGTGTGTATTTAATAGAAAGAGATAATTAAGCAAATGTCAATTTTTCCTAATTCTTCATTAATACCTATCCATTCAGCTCGTTAAATTGACTGTATCTCCCCAAAATATTATATTGTGATTTTTTGAGCTTTACAACCAATGGTTCAAAGTTTAATCCTAAATTAGAGGAGAAGAAAGCATCAAAAATTGTGACTTCTAAATTTTAACACATAGGACTATAATTGAAGAATCATTATTAATATATCATTAAAGCATAGCAATGAATTACTAAGCGCTTCCTTCTTACTTATTTTGTCAATGTTGCAAGTGAATAATGATTTAAAAGTAGTAATATTACAGTTTATCAATATGTAATTCAAAATTCTGGAATTAATTATCATTCAATTTTTCCAGGATAGCATTTTTTTTCCATTGCAAACTCAACCATTAATGTTACATTATGATATTACTAAATGATCAATAAAATCTTAAATCACTTCATTAATTACTCTACTTTATCCTCATCTTTTTTTATCCTGATCAATGTTCTCATAATGCAAGCTTTAATAAAGAAAAGAAAAGAAAGAAGAAATACAGAAATGATGAATTCATATGTATTTTTGTAATGTGAAAAATATTCCGCTTAGAAAAAGCAGTATAATTAAATTAAAAATGGCACATATTTATAAAATAACTTCACAATTCCGTTTGCCATACTTCTTCCTCATTTGCGTTAATAAATTCTTAAAATATATAATTTAAAATATTATTACTATTGATTAAGAAAAGTTAAGGAAATAAAAAAATTGATTACAATTATTTACATTATTTTGTAATGAGTGTTAATTCGAATTGTTGAAATTTTCAGTATACCTCAATGATTTAAATTCTAAAACTGAAAAAAATAAAAAGAAATTCAATGAAAATAAACTCTTCCCTAATTTCTCATTTGCAAAATTTTCAGTTAATTAACAGCTATAGCACCTATAGCAACAATTAACAGATCTTAATTAAAATAATTAGTAGTAACCGATAATCATTTTCCCTTCGTTGAATATTCGAATAAATTATTCGTGTCATTAACATCTGAATAGAAATGAAATATTTACCTAAAAAAAAGTAAAAAATTGAATTATTTTACTTTCAAATAAATATTTTAGGAAGATAAAAATGATAATACAGTAACGGCAAATGATAGATATTTTCATAGCATTTAATGATAATTATTTAATTAATTTTATAAATTTGTTCTATAAATAACATAACTCAGAGTATGTAGAATGAATGGAAATGTTTCGGAATGAAATTAGAATTAATATCATCGGCATTTTTAAATAATGTCAAAATATCGTGTTTGTATGTAACATACTTATCATAAATGTAAAATTGTTCAAACTGAATTGAAGATTTAGTAAATTTATGGAAAGAAACAAAAATTCGCAATTGTTCAAAAAATACATAACAATCATCAACGTAATCGTAATTTTATATTAATTAGAACATATATATATATATATATAATCCTAAATGATCATAAAGAACAGAATTCCAAGTGATCATTACAGATCCTGAATTTTACGTGATTATACAAAAATTCCACGTGATCATGCAGAATGTTGCATAATAATACAGAACTCCAGGTAAAATACAAAATCCCAGATGATCGTACAGAATTCCAGATGATTATACAGAATCTGAATTTTGAACGATTATGCAGTATTCCCGATAATCAATGCAGAAACCTCCCAAATAAACAAATCCTCAGTGGTCCGAAAATTTGCAAAGTGGGTAAAGCATGACTGGAGATACGCGAAATGTGAGGGGAGTTTGTTATTTTCTATGTTCTTTGGTCTATCCGGATATTCCGTTCATATGCTGGCAGGGTTGATTCGTGATTTCAGGTTTTCTGGAAAATTGGACCGTATATTAAACTGCAATCATTTACAACGTATAATTATTTCCATATTTGCTAAATTGAATAGTCGGTGTAATGATCTGTACATGTATTGTTATGTTTGTTCAAATAGCTTATTTGTTCGTTTTTGTTTCTTTGTGGCTAATCAATAAAGTTATTGGTTAATCGATTTGTTTTGATTGATTGGCATTCCATAGTATTTTTTCAGATTTTTCTATTCGCATTACTATTCAATATAATATAGGAAGATGAACTAATTTTCCAATTTTTAGATATGTCAAGACTTACCGAAACGAAAGAAACTGCTGAAGATAATAAAAGCGATGAGTTAACAATGAATGGTGCAACATTAATCGAGCGGATCAACAGACAGAAGAAAGAAATTGAGGACGAGGTAAGTTGAGCGTTTAAATTGCTTTTAAGAATATTACTAATATTGTTAACCTAACAGTTAAATGATTGTAGAAGTAATTGAAGTTGTGTTTTTTGACCACAAAATTTTTTTTGCAAATTCTGGAAGGAAATAAAATGTGTTCATTTCTTTTTTAAGTGCGAAATTTTATAATACTGTCATATTTATGCCATTTCCTAAGTGAAAAACTGTATATTATAAATGCAATGAGGACTCTTTTACAACTCAAAGTTTTTATTTATTAGTGTTACCAACAAATAAAAATTTTGAGCGAGCTTTTCATTTTTCCGGAATGTTGCATTGAGCTTTACCAGGAAATATATTGTTTTTAAGTACTGTTCTATATAGCGGAACAATAATGGATTTGTTTTATTAGGCAAATAAAGGAAAATAATTTTGTAAAAAGCCTATTTAGGTAAAGAAAGAGCATCCACTGGTCGCTCAGAAGGAATCAATTAGCGTTTTGTTAAATGAATATGATCGAGACAAAAGTGCTGAATATTACCAGAAATCAGAGGTAATCAGAATTAGTTTGGAAGGAATTGACAAAGGTATTTTGCTAATCATTCATATCATTCTGAACAAATGTGGTTTTTTATATTAAAAAGCATGCTGTAAATGGTAATTGCAATGCGTAAGTAGTTTGCAATATTTTCATAACAGTTTAGCGAAATAACGAATAAAATTTTCAGGAGTTGGCGAAAGTATATAATTCTCTACGTCGTATTCGTGGTGATGGTTGTTGTTTTTATCGGGCTCTTCTTTGTGCTCAGCTAGAATATATTCTAAAGGATCCGGAAGAATTAACTAGGTTTTTTTTTAACCATTGGAAATTAATTGAATTTGCGAGAGTTTTAAAAAGTATTTTAGTTTTTAGTTATAGTGAAACTTTGGTCATTGCAGGTTTGCAAAAGTATGTAAAGGATGGCGGCAGCGTTT